GTATTCATGTGCTGCCAGGGCGTAGTTGCGTAGCCATTCGATCATTAGGTACGTGGGCCGGTGGGTTGAACGAACGAACGAACAGGCAAGTTGCCCAGGACTGTACAAGGAGGCGGGGGAGAAGGACAGCCAGAGTAGGTATAAATATTTGGGTCTGGCGTCCCACCATCTCAACTCGCGAACCTTGATGTCTGCAGTCTCAACTCCCCTACAGTCTAGCGACGAATCGAAGAGCCAGCCCCCTTGCTACATACAGAAAAAGCCCAAGAGTTGATATTTCCGCTTTGGGAAATATCGTCCTGCCTTAGAAAGCGTCTTACACACACCAAAGCGACGATCAAGATGACCACCACCGGAGGATGTGCCTGCGGCGAGATCCGCTACCAGTTCGAGGGTGCGTGCTCATCCCCCTTCCACTGCCAACATCACATAGATACGCAGCCTTTCGCCTTGTCCTTGTCTTTTATTATCTTTATGTTTATTGTTTCTTGTGTCGGCTCGTTGGTTGGTCCTCTGGCGTGCGCAACGATGATGGCTGGCCACTGCGGGGTGGTGGAAAGTGGGAGCTGATGAGCGAGGGGCTAACTAACGGGGGGGTGTAGGTGAGCCTGCCGTGACGGCGCTTTGCCACTGCGTCGATTGCCAAAAGGTATGAACATTCCCTTCCTGAATAGAGATGCGGACTCGGAGTCTGGACAGAAAAAAGATTGCTGACGTTTTGTATCTGTGTCTTGATGTAGTGGACCGGCGGTGCGTTTACTTCCAATGCTGTTGTGCCGCGCACTGCCTTTAGCCTCACCAAGGGTACGTTCACACCTCTTACCCCCCCTATAGCATCTCTCATGCCCTGTACACCTCTCTTCACATGCACACACAGACACAGAGGGGGGACGAAGAAGAAACAAGAGAGAGATGGGGGAAGAAGACTGGCAAGACAAGAAGAACGGGTTCAATCCAGCTGACACAAGCGCACGCACACACGCAAACAGGCACGCCCAAGACGTGGGACGTCCGCGGCGACTCGGGCAAGATCAACAAGCACTTCTTCTGCGGCGACTGCGGCTCCAGCCTGTACACGGAGCTCGAGGTCATGCCCACGGCCACGTGCGTCAAGGCCGGCGGGCTCGACGGCGGCGCCGCCAGCCTCGGCGGCAAGGTCGGCGTCGAGTTCTACGTCAAGGACCGCGTCTCGTACCTGCCCGCCTGCGAGGGCGCCAAGCAGGAGCAGGTGTTTGGCCAGTGAATGGGCATGAGATGATGCAACGACGGCGACGCACCAGGGGGTTGGGGGCTTCACTGTGCTCGAGGGATCTTTCCACAAGGCATCGAGGAAACATGTCAGTCATGTCTAGGTAATTAACAAAGATATCTTGAGTAGTATCTGAGCGGTCGTAACTGCGTGACGTGTATGACTGCTGTTCCTGCCCTTGCCATGTGCATATATGCTTTTGTATATGGGGGGATTCTGCGTCTAGGTCCGCTCTATGCTTTGCCGTTGACGCCGTTGACGCCGTTTGTTCTATATGGCAGTTCGGAGCTCTCCTTCTTGCTGACGCTGCCGCCCACCGCAGCTAGGATGCGTTCTAGTCCGAGCTCCAGGTACTCGGTCTCGTGCGCAAAGATGATGCGGAACCAGCCCGGCTCCTCGGCGCCGAACCGCACGCCGTCGGCGAGAAAGACCTTTTCCTTGAGCAGGCTGTCCATGACGTCCTTGTCCAGGTCCACCTGCTGCTTCTCGTCGTCGGCGACCCGGTTCTTGAGGTACGCGGCGCCGAGATTCACCCATACGAAGAAGCCCGCGTTGCTGCCAGGGGTGTACTCGATGCCGTTGTCCCGCGCCCAGCGGAGCACGATGGCGTGCTGCTTGCCGAGCAGGCGGCGATTGTCTCGGATAAAAGTGTCCACCCACTCGTCGTCGTCCAGCACGTTGGCCGTCACGAGATCTGACAGCGAGCTTGTCCAGCCAAACTCAAAGACGTTTTGCAGGGCGCCCTTGAGCGGCGAGTTCCCTTGCGTGATGACGAAGCCCATGCGCAGCCCGCTGACGCCAAAGTCCTTGCTCATGCCCCAGATGACGTGGACGAGCTCCGGATCGATGATGCCGTTGACGTCGATGGACAGGGCCGACTCGAAGGGCACAGGCGCGGGCTCCGTGTCAAAGGCGTTCTCGAAGACGGACAGGGCGTAGATTTCGTCGCTGATGAGGTGCACGCGATGCTCCTGGCAGAGGCGCATGTAGGCGAGGAGCACGTCCCGCGGGTAGCACCGGCCGAGCGGGTTATTCGGGTGCGCGAGGATGATGGCGGCGATGCGCTGGCCGCGGTCTTTGGCGGCAAGAATGGCAGCGCGGTGAGCCTCGACGGCGGCGAGGCCCATGGGGTCGACGGCGGCGAGGCCCATGGGGTCGACGGCGGCGAGGCCCATGGGGTCGACGCCGGCGCCAAAGGCCACGGGCCGGAGCTCGACGCCGGTCCGCTTGCCGACATCGGTGGGGAAGGCGCCGTAGTAGGGCCGGCCGATGAGGATGGCGTCGCCCGGGTTGGCGAGCGCCCACGACAGGTTCTCGATAGCCACGGTGCAGCCGTTGCTGACGAAGACGTCGGCGGGCGTGATGGCGCGGACGGGCCGCAGCTGGCGCGTGAGGAAGCGCGCGACGGTGGGCTTGAGGCGCTTGTAGCCGTCGCCGTAGGTGAGCGCGATGGCGGGGATGCCGTCCTCGGGCTCCAGCTTGGCGCGCATGTGCTTCATGAAGCGCTCATGGAGCAGCGTGTTCTCGGCGACGCCGAGGTTGACATAGCCGCGCTGGTTCGTCTGGGCGTCGTACAGGTCGGCGAGGACCTGGATGAAGAAGAAGTTGGGGTCGGGCGCCGTGAGCTTGTTGGCGCGGGCGGAGAGCGACATGCTGGGCGACGATGGGATGGTGCTGCTGCTGTTGCTGCTGCTACCTCATGCGAGAACGGGCGGCGACGGCGACAACGACAACGAGTTACGTCCACGCATATATACCCAAGGCGTGCGACATCCAAAGGGCTTACACATTGCAAAATGACGGGTGGTGCCATCTGGTGATAGGGCGTCGTGTTGTTGAGCCGGCGGTGGAGACGCCGTGTGGGCACGATACGCTCAGACGCCCCGACAATGGCGCCCTCTGGAGAACACTGGCCACGCCTTTGCACGGGGCGGTTCGTCGGGAGCATCGAACGAGTGGCGTCTACGTCACGGGTTTCGCCCTTTTCTGCGCAGGGCGCCTCGTGCGAAAGGCTCCATCCGGGATCGTAGTGCCGCCCAAACCTTGACGGTGGCGTGCCTGGTTGCGTCAATGCCGTCCGTTTTTTTCTGATCCGGCCCGGCAACTCCAGATGATGGCCATTGACGATCCTGTCGAAGCAGACGAGCTAGAGCCGCGCATCATGCGCAGCAAGGGCGTTGCTGATGCCCGTTATCGGATCCATGGGCGATGGCGGGCGATGCGACTCATGGCCCCCGTGTCGCTGGGCTGTGCCATCGGCACGCCAAACAGACCTGAGATGCGCTCGAAGGATTGCGTCCGCACGTGTCCAATGTCCGGTGCGAGCGATACGATGACTGACTGCAGTTCGAGAGAGATGCAGATGGACGATCGACGGGCCGGCGACAGGCATGGATCACAGTTGCCAGCATGCCAGCCAGGCTGCCTGCTGTTGCGCTGGTTGACTCACGGTCGTCGGCCAATAAAGTTTTTCCGTGCTCTTCGTCGGGTGCCGCTGCAGTGTAACCTGAGGTGCTGAGGGCGCGCTGGAACTGCCCTGCAGCGCTTGGCCCCCTGGAACATTACAGAAGGCCGTGGGCACCAATCTGAGGCGCAAACAGGGGCCCGGCGGGTGGCTGCCCAGCCCGCGAGTCAATGCCCAGGGACCAGTCGGCCAGGGCTTGGCCGACCCCGCCATCCCCTCCTCGACATGGATTTGGCGGGGTGACTGTATTTTCTTTTTTTTGCCCTCCGATTCTCGTGCCTGTGACTCGACGAACCTCTTCGACCATCACACGATAAGAGCGCCGACAACGACGACGACGGCACGGCACGTCTCGACACATTCGCATCCCACGACCCGACTACCCACTTCGCAACGCTCAGACTGCCCGTCGCGCGCCGCAGACCACCGCAATCATGGCTGACAACCAACCCGCGTCCGGCGCGGATGCCGCCGCCGCCGCCGTCGCCAAGCTGCACCTCGACGAGGTCACCGGCGAGATGATCTCCAAGACCGAGCTCAAGAAGCGCCAGAAGGCCCGCGAGAAGGAGGCCGCCAAGAAGGAGAAGCAGGCCGCCCACCCCCAGCCCGCCGCCAAGACGGGCGAGGCGGCCGAGAAGGAGTTGACTCCCAACCAGGTGCGCAGCCGCTGCCCCTGACAGCCGATTGACGTCGAGTAACCCGAGCCTAACATGCGACAACAGTACTTTGAGATTCGATCCGGCGTCGTCAACGAGCTGCACGCCAAGGGCAAGGCCTACCCTCACAAGGTGCGACTGACCGCCGCCGACGGAAACGCTCGGGCCTGATGCTAAACTCGCGCAGTACCACGTCACCTACGACATCCGCAAGTTCGCCGACGACTTCTCCCACCTCAAGAACGGCGAATCCGACAAGACCAAGTCGATCCAGCTGGCTGGAAGAATATACGTCAAGCGCTCCGCCGGCAGCAAGCTCTACTTCTACGACATTCGCTCCGACGTAAGTCCCCTTTCCCACGCCGCTCTCGGTGAGCCGAGTATCTGACATGTCCCAGGGCACCCGGCTCCAAGTCCTCGCGCAGGCCGACAACGTCGACGACAAGGCGGTTCCCTTCGAGGAGCAGCACATCAACCTCCGGAGAGGCGACATCATTGGCGTCCGCGGCTTCCCGACCCGCACCAACCCCAAGACCAAGCAGGGCGGCGGCGACTACTCTGGCGAGCTGTCCATTGGCGCCATCGAGGTGACTCTGCTGTCGCCTTGCCTGCACCAGGTAACACGCGCAGCCACACGGCCGGCCTCGCATCCGCTGACCTCTTGTGCAGATTCCCGATGACCACTATGGCTTCAAGAACCCCGAGCAGCGCTTCCGCCAGCGATACCTCGATCTCATGATGAACGAGCGGTCGAGACAAATCTTCATCACCAGAGCCAAGGTCGACTCCTACATTCGCCGCTGGTTCGACGAGCGCGAGTTTGTGTCGGTGCAGACGCCCATGCTGAACCCCATCGCCGGTGGTGCCACCGCCCGCCCGTTCATCACCCATCACAACGACATGAACATGGACATGTTCCTCCGAGTCGCTCCCGAGCTCTACCTCAAGATGCTTGTCGTCGGTGGCCTGAACAGGGTCTACGAGATGGGGCGTCAGTTCAGAAATGAGAGCGTTGACCTGACTCACAACCCTGGTGCGTTCTTATCGCCTCGGCCATGGTTCGTTTTGATAGCTAACTTTTACCAGAGTTCACCTCGCTCGAGTTCTATATGGCCTACGCCGACGTCAACGACCTCATGGGCATGACCGAGGAGCTTGTCAGCGGCCTCGTCAAGCACGTCCACGGCTCGTACAAGACCATCTTCCACAACATCAAGGGCGAGCCCATCGAGATCAACTGGGAGGCGCCTTGGCCCAAGATCGACATGATCCCCGGCCTCGAGGAGGCGACGGGCGAGAAGTTCCCGCCTGCCGACCAGCTGCACACGGACGAGACCGGTGACTTCCTCAAGAAGGTTCTTAAGAAGACTGGTGTTGAGTGCAACCCGCCCCTGACCAACGCCCGCATGATTGATGCTCTCGTCGGCGAATTCCTCGAGTCCCGATGCGTAAGTTTATCATGCTAGTTACTTTGACTTGAAGCTGACATCGGCAGATCAACCCCACCTTCATCATGGGCCACCCCAAGATGATGTCTCCCCTGGCCAAGTCTTCTCGCACCACTCCCGGCCTGTGCGAGCGATTCGAGGTCTTTGTTGCCACCAAGGAGATTGCCAACGCGTAAGTCGACTCGGCGAGGTATCAAGAAATGAGGCTGACTGGTAGCAGCTACACCGAGTTGAACGTTGCCGCGGAGCAGCGCGCCAACTTTGAGGAGCAGGCCCGCCAGAAGGCCCAGGGCGACGACGAGGCCCAGATGGTCGACGAGACGTTCTGCCGCGCTCTCGAGCACGGCCTGCCGCCCACCGGTGGCTGGGGCATGGGCATCGACCGCATGATGATGTTCCTGACGGACAACTACAGCATCCGCGAGGTCCTGGCGTTCCCGACCATGAAGCCCGAGTAGACTCTCACATGTAGACGGCGAGTTGACGAGATAGAGGGGAGGATTGATCTGAATGAAGCCAGAAGTGCATTGGGATCTTTGAGTTTGGCTGTAGCACGAATGCCTAGCAAAGAATAAAAGTGTGTGGGAATCAGGGTATCTATTCCACCCGAAAAATGCATCTACCGAATCCTCATGTCTAGATGTCTGTCGTGGCATATGTTTTGTACCGTCCTGCGCCAAACGCCGTGCCTATGTAAACTCCGTCTCCGTCTCTCATCCACCATAACAGGGCATGCATGCTTTAGAAGTTGGGCCGGCGCTTGCGGCCGGTGTACTTGGACGTCGCCTTGACAACCTTGCCCTTGCGCTCCATCTGCTCTTTCTTCTTGACGATCCAGGCCTTGCTGCCCTTGTGCGCCTTGGAGTTGTTGGCCTTGAGCTTCTTGCGCGCGTCCATGACGTCGACGCCATCCATGCCTGCAACGACGCCCGTGATGTCGCCGCCGCGGCCGCCGGCGTCGTCGCTCGTGCCCGCCGTGAGGACGAGGTAGATCTTTACGTTCTTGGTGCCCGGATCATCCTCGAGGATGCCTGCGCCGAAACCGGCCTTGACGGCAGCCTGGGTGACCATGTTGCGCTGGTCGTCGTTCTTGGGGTAGAACTGGCAGACGGCGCGGCCGCCGCGGCGCAGCGATGCGTAGAGCCCGCTGAAGAAGCGCGACAGGCGGCCCGCGGGGCTAGTGTCGCTCGTCTCCGCGCTGCAGAGCCACTGCACGGCGGAGATGGAGATGGCGGCGTCGAAGGTGCCCGCGCGGAAGGGCACGCCCTGGCCCATGTCGGCGAGCATGAGGTCGCCCTCGACGTCGCGCTGGAGGGCGACGTCGAGCATGCTGGGCGACAGGTCCATGCCGATCCAGGTGTGCGGGCCGCCCTCGTCCGGGTCCAGCGACGAGAGGATCTCGCCCGACAGGCCGGAGCCGCAGCCGACGTCGAGGACGAGCGAGGGGCGCTGCAGGTCGAGGAGGGAGAGGGCGCGGCGCGTCATGCTGGCTTGGATGTTTTGGATGCGCGACGAGGTCGTGTACTTGCGGGCTTCGACGTCGTCGTAGTGCACGTCGGCGGCGCTGTGGTGGTCAGTATCGCCATGTTCGTCACAACTCTGCCAGACGGACGGGCGGGCTAGTCGGTGAGAGGGCGCGGCGCAAGGAAAACGTACAGGGTATCTTCGGGGCGGGACATGGTGGGCGGTTATTGGGAGGGCGGCGGCGCCCTTGGAGCTGTGTGTCGTTGCGACGAACGTTCGGGGTGAAGGGCGTGGGCGAGGCGTTGGGCCCAGGGCGAGCGGGTGGATGGGAGGAGCGTGCGAATCTCGAGAGTCGGGATTGAGGACGATTATCGACAGAGCTTTTGGTGGAGGAAGCGGGTGGGTGGTGGTGGTCCCTGACTTTTTTTTGTGGATGGCCGTATCGATAGTGGTTGGCGGCGGGGGGTGGACAAAAATAACTGCGTCCAAGTCTGCGTCTCGCTTCATGAGGAGACACTCGGTAAACAGGCTCAGTGCTCAGATGTACAGATTTGTAATGAGAAAACTACAGCTAAATGGCCAATTACAAACTGACATATTAGTGCTCAGTTGTATGTTTTGTGAGCCGCTGCACTCTCAAACTTGTTCGCCTTGGTGCGGGTGCCAGGCACACGCTACGCTTGTGTTTTTGTCCACGCAGCCCCAGCATACCCTGCAGTCAACAGCAATGCTTCGACCATCTGTAAGCTGAATCTCAAAAGACCGTGTCATTGCTGCCATACTCCCAATTGGAACCGACAAGGCGTCAGTTTGCCCTCGAAAAATGTTTCATGCATCGTGATAATCTTTGGATCCGCAGCCTTGCTGTTGCCTCTGGCAGGGAACTAAAGACGTCCAATTTTCTCAGATACGTTCAGTTTGACACCACTAATGAGGTCGAATGCCTGCGGCGCTGAGATCCCTGATGGCCTGGATGAAAGCATTGCAAGAGCTGGTGCTTTTCTTGGCTTTGGCGGAGAGAGCAGTCAGGTATTGGATAAGATGGTGCTGTGCCGCGGACCGGCGCGAGACCGGTCAAGACGGCCATATGTCACGACATCGCCATGAAATGATTGGCGCCGTCTCAGGTGAGGAGAGTTTATGACAAAACCTCTATAGATATTGATACTCGCGGCTTGATCAGCCGGCATGAAACCCGCTCCCGTGTTACAAACAACGTTGGCACCCTACCTCAAGTCATATGCAAAGTACACACTGAGAATGTCAATACAAGCGTCTTGTGGATTGGGCAACCCTGCCATGCCATCGTGATGAATCATTCCTAATCTACTGGGGATCGAATCGGACGCGTGGTCCCTGTCACATATAGTACGACGCCTACGCGGTTGCAAATGTAACCACAGCGTCGGACGCGGGGTGAACCAGAACAGAAGAACTTTTTGATCTGCCACTTAGCATTCAACATGATGGTTCAAGTTGAGGCTGTTGCCTACCCCGCTGAGCACGGCTGCCGGCAAACAAAATATGCATGCATGAGGGCTCGGCGATCCGGAAGGCCTCCCGATCGCAAGGCGGACTATCACAGGCATCGAGGGCGTGGTTGCTGCCTGCCGCCAGAGGCATGCTGTTGCGTGAAATTTGCCATTGGATGGGAAGAAGAAGCCGGCGAGTGAAGGCGACTTGAACCAAACGATCAGGCTTGTTGTTGTTGTCAGGCAAACTTGCGCCGTAATCTAATCGAGGAGCCCGAGCTGTTGCAGAGGGCCTTGGGTATAAAGAGGCAATACAGCCACTGGGGGAGCTCTCGCTGAACCCAATCTCGGAAATCATCGACACGAGCGTAGTTTACCTGAGCTTTGCTTGCTATACACATTCGGACCAAAGCAAGACCCCGAGCCATGGCTACGAACGTCCCTGCTTCGACGACCTCGGACGGGCGGGACATCAACGTCACCAGCGACTTGGTGGTGAGTCTCGTCGAATACCAGTGCCTCGCCTCCCACGGCACCGTGGCCGTGTCGGACGCCTCGCAGCCGACGGCAGTCACGTACTGGCCCGGCAAGGCGGTGCTCAAGGCACCGGGCGCCTCGGTGAACAAGGGGCGAGTGCACATCCCCGTGCACGACACGCCCGAGATCCTCGGCAAGACGTACGCGCTCGAGAACATCCTCGTCTACTTTGACGTGGAGTCGGACGCGGCCATTGACGTGGTGACGCTCTACTACGACGCCGCCAAGATCGTGTCGACCAACGTGAACAAGAAGAACACGTTCCACATTGACTTTTCGGCCGGCGAGGCCAAGAAGTACGCCTACGTGGTGACGTCGGGGATTTGCGTCATGCTGGACGTGGTGTTTCCGAATGCAAAGTCGTCGGTTGACCTCTACTCGGTTACGCTGGTGTACAAGGCGACTTAGATGGCTCAATGAAGAGGTCGTGTGGTGGCATGACTGACTGGCTGGTGGACGCTTCATGTTGTTTCGGTGCTGGTGGTGGCTTGGGCGAGGTCTCGGGACGTAGATGACATTGAACTAGCCGAGTAGACACCTGGCCGGGCACGAGAGCTTACGCCGTGCTGTGTCTCCAAGTCAGCAACATTGGCGTTGCCGCCGTCAGCTTGCTGTGCTGTAAAGGTGCAATGCTCATCATCAGTGCATGGCCAATTGTGAGTGCGTGATCGTGCGTCAGTGCCTCTTCAGGCTTGATGCACGTCCGGAAACAGGGTCGACGGCGCTTACATAATACGTCTGCGCCATTGGCTCGTGCGCTGAACGTGTCCTGAAGCTCCGTGAGACGCGAAAAGCCCGTACCTACAGCTCCGGGCAGCTCAAATTAAAGCCCCCCCAGGGGCGGCAGCGTTCCTCCACCAAAATCTCCTCCCTTTACTTTCGCGCCTGCGACTCTCCTCTCTCCTCTCTCATGCCCCTCGATACCGTCGCCGCCAGAAACAACTGAGGACGCAAACATGTGGATCCTCCCGCTCATCGGCTACGCCGGAGCCATCCTCGGCTTCTGCTTCCTGACGCTGGCCATCGCGTCGGGGCTCTACTACCTGTCGGAGCTCGTCGAGGAACACACCGTCATCGCCAAGCGCCTCTTGACGCGCCTCATCTACACCGTCATCGGCGTGCAGGTCGCGCTGTGGCTTCTCGACGGCTTCCCCTTCTGGTCCTCGTTGCTGGGCGTCGTCGCGCACGTCGTCTACCTCGGCAACATGCGCCGCTTCCCCTTTGTGCGGCTGTCCGACCCGCTGTTCCTGCTGTCGTGCGGTACGCTTGCTGCTCCCGTGCCCATCCCTATCCCCGAGGCTCGCTTGCTGACGGCCTGATGCGTGTGCAGTCCTTGTCCTGCTCGATCATTGGGTCTGGTTCCGGCACTTTTCGCATAGCCAGACGCGCGCGTACCAGCGTTCCTCGTACTACGACACGGTCGACGTGCCGAGCTTCACCATGATAGCGTCCTACTTTGGCCTGTGCGTGTGGCTCGTGCCGTTTGCCCTCTTCGTCAGCCTGTCGGCCGGCGACAACGTGCTGCCGACAATGGGCACCGAGCCGGTCCGCGGCGTGGATGGCAAGGCCCGCCCGCAGGGCATGGTCAAGGCTGTCGTGGACTGGGCGCGCGGCGCCATCGGCGAGATTGCCGGCTCCACGGGCTTGGAGCGGCCATGAGCGGCCAGACGGCGAGACGCTAAGATTACGACGAAACGACGACATGCCGCGCCGCAGGCCGTGCGTTTGGCGACGAGACGAGACCGATGGTAAGTCGAGACGAATATTTCTTTGGGTGCCTGTCGAGCCATTGTGATGAAGCAACCTTTACGCTAGATTGTATTTGACAAGGCAAAGCCTTGCATGATCGTTTTAAAGAAGTCATAGTTACACTGAATGGATGTTGGGGCAGCTCTGTCATGATGCATGGCATGGTCATGAGCTCTGCTAACATGGATCCAGGTACGATGGGAGACTAAAGCTCCTCACAGACGAGAGCTGGACCCCCGAGGCTTAACAGGAAAGCCGTGCGATAATCTATAGGGCTTGGGCTCGAATTGATGTATGCGGGCGGCACTACTCGAATGACCGACGAGCACGACAAAGCGACTCGAGGTCGCTGCTCTGCAGAGGCTACGATACTCATGGTATCTCATCTGTCATCACAAGGGATGCATCACGCACCCGCACTGTGACGAGTTCTGTCAACAAAATGTTGGTATCAGCGCAAGGCCAGCGGACCGATCCATATATGCTATAATTGAAACACGCCTCATGGCTACCTAGTAATACATTCCCCTGTGGATATCGTGCTTGTTCCGTTCTCTGTGACGGCTGCGCTGTTCCCCAATTGTTGGTCACGTCAATTTGTGCCAACTGCCTTACGAGTCCTTGCCTTTGGACGATCCGTTGCCTTTCCCATTGCCATTGCCGTCCCCGTTCCAAAACTTCTGGTCCACCTTGTCGTCTGGCGCGCGCATCCCGCGGTCGTGCTTCTTCTCAAAGTGCTCGTTGTGCCGGCGCACCTCCTCCTTCTGCTCGCTCGTCAGCTCGTCGGCGAGCCCGTCGCCGCCCGCGACGCTCGAGTTGAAGACCTTGGGCCGGGGCGGCGCGTTGGGCGACGAGCTGGACAGGGGCTCGCCGCCGCCGGTGCGGCCGCGCGCGCCGGACCCGTCCCCCGCGACGACGTCGTCCATGGGGTCGGCGATGGTGCCCGGGTGGTCGTCCTCTTTCGGGTCCTGCTTCTTTTGAATGTCTTGCTTGTTCTCGACAAGGAGACGGGCGGTGGTGGCGAGGGAGCGGCGTGGTGGGAGGAGGGTCGCGACGGGACGGCGCGGTGCGGAGGACCGTGGTAGGAGGCTGCGGAATGAGCGCATGGTGATTGCTGGATTCTTTGGATCTGGTATTGTATAGAGATTTATTGCAAGCTTCTTGGTCAGGTAAATCTGCAGCTTTTTTGTATGGAAGGCCGTGAGCTGTCAGTCTTGACGCGCGGTGTTCAAGGTAATCGGGCCTCTGAGACGGCCGTGACGTCAAAGCTCTGACATCACCATTCCGAGTAGCAAAGATCGGCGGCACTGCACAAACACGCTGCATACATATTTATGTGTACTCTGTTTCAATTAGACAATTATAAAATAGCGATGGTGAAAATCCTCGTCGATTGTGCTTCTCTTCTGCGTCAATGCATTAATTGGCCATCCCGCCTGTCTATCGCAAAACGCCCCGTATATGCCCCCCCCCGCGCCGGCTGTGACTGACTGCTCATATGAACCACAAACAATAGATAGAAAACACCAATAGAGGTTATTGGTTACGACGAGGCATCGGCTGCCACCCGGATGAGGAGCGACCCCATGCCAGCGCTCTTGCCGTAGCTGCGGTGCGCGTCCTGGATGTCGTCCATGTCCCAGACCTGCTTGATGGGCACCTCGACGGTGCCCTCTCCCGCCAGCTTCATGAGCTCCTTCAGCTCGGGCTGGAAGTTCTTGTCGTCACGGGTGATGGAGTAGATCGTGGTCGACTTGCGGGACCAGAATGCGAGGTTTCGCAGCATCAGCTTCATCACAGACAGGATCATTGAGCGGCTTTGGTTCTCCTCGCCGCTCAGCGCGCCGAGGTTGCCGCCGTAGCCGACGAGCAGGCTGGGATCCGACGAGCTGAGGATGGCGTAGCTCTCGTCGAAGCTTTCGAAGCCGAGGGCGTCGAAGACGACGTGCGCGCCGCCGAGGTCCTTCATGGCGGCTATCCACCGCTTGTCCGTGTACACAAAGGGATGCGCGCCGCGGGCCCTCAGCGCGGCATGGTTGCGCTCTGAGGCCGTGCCGTAGACTACGGCGCCGCGCATCTGGCACAGCGTCATGAGGGCGTAGCCCACTGCGCCGCTGAGCCCGTGGACGAAGACGCGCTGGCCGCACGAGACGTTGGCCTTGCGCACGGCCATGCCGTAGGCCGTGTTCCAGTCGAGGGCCAGGGCGCACGCGACCTGGGGGTCGAGTCCGGCGGGGACGGGCGTCAGGTACTTGGCGGGCACGTTGATGAGCTCCGACTGGGAGTCGTAGACGGTGACGGCGGTGACGAGGTCGCCGGCGCGGAAGGCGGCAGAGCCGTTGGAGCTGGGATGGTCGGCGACGATTCGGCCGGCGAAGCAGTAGCCCGGGGTGAGGGGCGCGCCGCGCTGCATCGGGTACGTGCCCATGCGCATGTTGACGTCGGCGCCGGAGAAGCCGCTGTAGAGGACGCGGACCTGGACCTCGTCGCGGGAGGGGGCCGGCATGGGCGCCGTGGTGACGGCGAGGACGGAGGGGTCGCCGAAGGCGGTGACGATGACCTTGCGGGTCGTGGACGTAGATGCGGCGACCATGGTGATGGATGGAGATTGTGATGGTGATGATGATTAGATGTGGTATTCGTGTGAGCCGCTTGAAGAGCCGGGAGACTTTGATGTCAATAGATGTTTGGAGTTGTGTTCGATGTCTAGTCTGGCATCATCGTCCTCATCCGTCCGACGACGACGCTTTATATCCATCATCGTGGGACACCACGGACACGGCTACACGCCGCAAATGATGCCCTTCCATGGCCGTCGTACGCATCACCACGCCCCGAGCAGGCTGCAAGTCACGGTGCAAGGCACAATGCGGACACCGAAGTCGACGATGCCGATGGCCGCGCGGGCGTCCGGCCCGTCGTGGGGACTCAAGCCACCAGACGGCAGCAGCCACCAGGCGGAGCAGCCGCGATACCAAATGACGGAATGGACGCCAGCCACACAAGCAAGTAGTCGCTTGCGCTCCGGGCAGTTTGTGTCTGCCAGAGGGCTGAGGAGGCTGCGGCTGCGGAGCGGAGGCGCTTGTTGGATCGGTGGTGGAGAATGGAAGCCGGCCACCATTGCTAGCGCTCCGAGTCGGGGGAATAATGGGGCCGCCGTGTCGGTGGTCGGCGCGCCGACCTGCCGTGGGCCGTTACTGTTGGCCCTGGTTTACTGGGTCGGCTTCGGGGGGATGTTGTGAGCGTGGGCTCCGAGTATTTGATGGCGCTGGCAGCCCACTGGTGTAGTACGTCCGATCCTTTGGTCGTTGTATGCTTGTTGCTGACTGGCTGTTGAAGGATCCAGCTCATCGTCAGTTGAGCTTGGATGATTGACTTTCAGCACAGAGTCCTCGACTTCTCACAGGGGCTGAACGACTGACACCGCTGTCAGCAAACGCCTCCCCTTTCTTCGGATCGAGATGACAGCAACCTGCGCCCTCTCTCCACCAAGTCTCGAAGCGACATTTCCAGGAGACCTGTGTCATGTTTGAATCACCGACCGACGACTGTACTCAGCTGTCTGCAGGTCATTCAAAGACGTCAATGTATTCTATTTCGTCAAATATATGTACGCAGAAACCGCCCGCATATCCAGACACTGACACACACCACCCATGCGAGCATCCAACTTAGTAGAGGCCCCATTCCACCTTTTGCTGTTTAATGTTTCCGTTGCACTGCATCGTGCCCTTTGCGCCAACCTTGCCGCCCCCGCCAAACTGCCTGACGGCGTCCTTGATGATGTCGACGACGTCCTGCGCGCCCACGTCAAAGTTGGAGTTGCCCTTGCGGCCCTTGCCCGTGACGCCAAACTTGCACTCGCCGTAGTGCAGGATCTCGCGCTGCGTCTCGATGAACGTGTTCCACGACCCGGACGTGCCCTCGATGTTCTTGACGATCTGCAGGCAGTCCGCCACGGGCGGCGACGCGCCGCTCGTCTGGTCCTCGAACGTCGACCCGCTGCAGTAGTCCTTGCCGTTGGCCACGTTGCACGGGAAGTTGTCCTTGTCGCGCGTGCCCGACGTCTTGTCGGCGTTTTCCCACGACTTGCGCGCCAGCGTCTCGCTGCACACGGGGAGTCGGATGTAGCCCGGCGTCGTGATGTCGTCCTTGACGAGGCTGTCGAACGAGCCCGAGTCGGTGGGGTCGGCGAGGTCGCCGCCGTTTTGCTCGCCGTTTTGCTTGTACGTCCTCACGGCTCTGTGTCATCTGGTCAGCGCATACAGCGGAATAAGTCGGTAGGCATCTTTATCATGACAAACGTACCCGATGATTATGTCCTCCACCTTGATGCCGCCCCAGCTCTTGCCGCCCCAGCTCCTTCTCGCCCTTGAGCCCCGAAAACGAACTGTCGGGGCATTTGCAGCCGCCGGGGAACCCACAGTTGGGATCGCACGGGTGCGACTTGCCATCCGGGTCGGCCAGCTGGTACAGCCGCCCGTCGTGGCACGCAGACTTGAGGTCCTTGGTATACTTGGAGCCGTCCTTGTCGTCGCAATCGCGGCCAGTGTCAATGACGAAGGGGTGGTGACCCGAGGCTTTCCACACGGAGGGGATCGCGAAGCCGTAGAAGGCACGGATGAAGCTGTCCTCGACCGACTTCTTCTGCTCATGCGTTGCCTCGTCCGTGACGCCGTCGACAAACGTGCCGCCAGAGATGAGTGTCGTCAGCCGCTCAATGGACTTGTCGGAGCCGTCAAAGAGGTCGTCGAGGTCCGTCTTGGTGATGTTGTCCCAGACGTAAAGGCTTTGGCCCAGGTAGTTGGAGAACTGATCCTGCGCATCGCTAGTCCAGTCATCACTGGAGATTAACCGCGTCAGTCACGAGTTCGAGAACAGCATCGGCTTTGGTGGAAACGTACACCTTGGACGACCCCTTGAGGTTCGTACCAATCAAGACTCCACCGGAAAGAATGGTGTTGAACGCCGTCTTGCCCTTTTCGAGAGCCTGAGGGGTCTTGGAAGCCAGCGCGGGGAGCTTGGCAATAACTGCAGACGGGGTTCAGCGGTTTGCGCAAACAAAGGTGCGACAGAATCGAGGAGCTCACCATCGGAGAAGAACTTGCCGCCAATCATCGGCGTGCCCATGGAAACGAAGCCCAGCAGAATGTTCAGCCACGAGTCATCCTTCGGGGGAGGCACAGGGGCAAACTTGTTCTCCAGGTCGTCGAGCGAGTTGTCAATCAGGAGAGCAGAGGCAGAGACGAGAGACTCGTGGTACTTGGCATATGTCTGGACATATCCCTCATTAGTAGACTATCTCACCGTGCGTGTAGCTGTACGTCACATACCGAGCTGAGCTTGACAAACGAATTCCAGATCAGCGTGGCGGCTGGGCCCGTCTTGTCATTCTCGTCGAGGTTCTTGCAGTCAATGGTCTGTCTGCAGCTGCTGCCAGACAGGATCTCTCCGCAGTCCGCGCCGGGCGGACCGCCAATGAGGTACACGATAAAGGCTGTGAAGCCCAAGCGCGGACTGCCATTGGCGTCGTCTCGGTACTTCTTCCAGTCGTCGACAATGTCGCTCCACCCGTCGCCGCCGTCGAGCCCAGCCCAGCGCTCGGCGGGCGAGTAGTCGGCCGTCTCCTGATAATACGGGTCGTCGCAGGTCAACTTGGTCCAGTTGCCGTGCCGGCTGCCCGCATGGCGCACGGGATTGTTGCCCGCCTTGATCTGCAGCTTGAAGTTCTTCCAGCCGTCGACGCCCGAGGGCGCGTCGACGAACTTTTCCAGGTCAGTCGCCCAGTTGACGGAGCCGCCCATGCCGAGCGCCTTGTAAAGCGTGGTGCGCCGGGAGCGGATGTCCGGCGTCATGTATGCCACATATTCCGTGTCGTCGTAGACGAGGATGTTGCTGTTGCTGCCGGCGTCGACAAAATGCTTGTTGACGCGGGACGAGTCGGCCATGATGTCGTTGATCTCGGCGTTGGAGATGTAGCCTGCCGTGTCAGTGCACTCGCCCTTCTTGGCGTTGGAGCTCAGCCGTCCGCCGGTGTACTTGCAGTTGGGGCCGTCGCAGCCCGCCGAGGCCATCTTGAAGGACCGGCCGTAGCTGCTGACGCCAACGACGATCTTTCCAGAGTCGGCGCCCGCCTTGGTGACCATGGCGAGCGAGTTCATCGTCTCAGTCAGGTTGACGTGGCTGCGCAGGCACATGCCGTCGTTGCAGCCGAGTTGCGCGTTGGGGTTGCCCGCGTCCCACTGGCCGTGCAGGTCGTAAGTCATGAAGACAATGTAGTCGACAATCTTGCTGATCTTGTCGATGGGGAAGCCCTTGAGGTACCAGTACGAGGCCGGGGCGGCAATCGAGACGGACTTTCCGGGGAGGAGGTTCTTCAGCAGTGCAAGGAAGGCCACGTAGTTTGTGCCTTCACTCTTATCACCAGGAGGAACACCCGGAATATCGGGGGCCTGCATAGTACAGGGTCAGCGTCCGTTTGAGGCACAGGGGAGAAATGACCATAACATACACCCGGGTATTCCCAATCAATGTCAACGCCATCGAGGTTGTTGTCCTTGATGAAGTTGGCAATGTTGGTCGCCAGCTTCACGCGGTTGGCGGGCGTAGTTCCCTGTCGAAGGATTTGGTACGTCTCGGGCTGTGTCGAAAAGTCCCATCCACCAAAAGAGAGAATCTTCTTGGGCCCGCGAAGATACCTAAAGTTGTTGAACTCGTACTTCGTCATGTCGTCGCCAATGCTGATCTGGTAGTCGGGCGAAATGTCGCCAAAGCCAAAGTGCAGGTGCGTGTACTGGGACTCGTCAATCTGCAGAGCGTCTTGGAAGAGACACTCTCGCTTGAACTGGAATCCCTCGTAGTAGCCGATGCTGCGGTATTGGGTGGGCGCGTTTCCCTTGACGATCTTGGTGCCGCAGTTGGAGATGCAGCCGTTGGTGCCGGGCTTGGCTGTGCCAGGGGCGCCGGTGCCGGTGTCGGTGCAGAACTCGTCTGTCGTGCCGCACTGTCATATTTGTTGTTAGCTTGACTCCGCTTCTTCAAGATAATCTCGAGGAACTTACGTGGCCCCATGTGTTGCAGCAGGCCTTCAATGGACACTGGTTGAGATCTGCGAGCTTGGTCATGTCTTTGGGGGGCTTGGTGCCAGGAACCTGAGGGCCGCACTCCGCATCAGCCACCTCGGCGGGCATGGGCGGCGAGCCCTTGCTGATGCAAATGACGGCATCCTTGAAGATGTTCTTGCACCCGGTCCAGCCCCAAGTATGCTTGTTGAACTCGTCAATGTCGTCGTTGGTGAGGCTGTTCGCCGCGCCGATGGTGGAGCAGCTCTCGCCATCGCCAACCGTGGTCGTCGCACACGACCCGTCCTGGTTTGGCTTGGGACGGAAGTCGGGCATGTCGCCGGAGGAGCAGCAGACGTGCTGACCGGGCTTCAGCTTGGAGCAGAAGCCCTTCTCCGAGTTGTACTTGGTGAAGTCTGCGCCCGAGATGCCGCATCTCTGCGCGAGGGCGGCGCAGCTGTCATCTTGTTGGACCTTTTCGGTTCGGCACTCTGCTCTCGGGGTGAGCATGCCTCTGGCCCAGCGGCGGCTAGAGTTGGCGAATGAAGTAGAGTTTCCGGCGGCCGTGCCGTTCGCCGTGGAGTTGCTGCCCTTGATGGAGGAGAGCATGGGCGCGGTAAAGTGCGTGCTGGCGGTAAAGTTCCGGTTGTGCTCAAAGTCGAGGCACTCGGCATTAGACCAAGACTTCAGTGCGGACTGAATAGCCCCAAATGTGCCGTTGGTGACGGCCATGAAGCCAAAGACGTGCTGGGAGTCGTAATCCGGCCCGCAAAGCTGCATGGCCAGGGCATCTCGGTGCCCGTCAAACTGGTGCGTGTCGTCCACGAGAGGATCCAGAGCAAAGGAGCTGATATCCGTGCTGCGAAGACTATTGCCGATGTAAAGACCAGCTGCGGTGCCGTCAAACTCGGCATAGAGCATTGTGGTCTTGTTGGACGGAGCATGTCCATTGGCGATGTAGTCGCGCATTTGCTTGATCAAAGAGCGGTACCCTGTCTCAGTGCCGGGGGACTGCGACGACCAGCCAATCTCATATTTGGCCTGATGCTCCTTGGCTGGGCGTTTGGCCGTAGTCTGGGCCGTTGCATCATTACTCCAGTCATCGCCATATGCAGCGCAGGCGAAAATTCGGTGGTGAGATTCGGCATCGTCCACGTCGTCGTACAGATTGAAGCTGTAGAACATGGCCTGCTTACAGCTCTCAAGCTGATCCATGCTATGGTAGGCAGACCAGTTGGACGGATTGGGGCCCGACACGATGCATCGTTCCGGACACACGCTGTTGAGACCCTGGTAGCCGGGGCTTGCACCCTGCCGCGAGGGGGTCTGCCCAGAGACCACTGCGACAGACAGCGCCAGGCTCACTGCCGCATTGCCCCAGAAGGGAGCCATGGCGATGTATTGTCTAGTTTACAACAAAAAGTGATAAAAAAGGAGCGTCGTTGAGAATTGTAAAGGAGTGACTTGTGCAAGACGACAGGGAAGCCTGGCCGTCTCGACGGCGGATAGAGAGCGAGAGGGCAAACACCATGAGCAGATTCTACAGCAGTCCTGATTATATAGGAGGCTCAGTACTCTCTCTGCTCTCTGAGCGAACCCACCGAAGCTCCCCTGAGTGAGCGTCGTAGCATCGTGGACACAGTGCGCAGACCATATCGAACGTGGTCGGCCATGTACGCCGAGGCTCGGCCGTCTATTCCACTCGTGGGCTTTATCAAGGCCGACGCTTCTTTCTCACGCATGAACGCAGTTAGTCGAAGAAACTCTGGGTCAAGCCCCTGCTGAGGACTATGCCGACGGGCAACGAAGGAATCGGAGTCCTCGTGCCTCACTTTCACGCGCAACAGTGTTGGCGGGTCGAGGTCCAGTCTGGTGCCTGCCGCACGCACGACTGGTCCAAAGGCCTGCCGAGATGCGTCGGCCGTAGGGCTGGGCCCGTTTGCAAGAGAAGCCGGCCGGGACTCAGCGACTTCCGGATGGAGACTGAACGGCTTGGCGGTGCGGCTACGTCGATCCATCGTCTCTGCCGCGGGGGCGTCCTAGCGGCAAGACGCGGTGGAGTGGCGATTCACCAGGAGAAAGAGTGGTTCGGCCCCTGATTGCCCCCTGACTAGAGCCGAACGTGTTGCTTGGCGACTATTGAAGAATGCGTTTCTCCGCGCTGTGTGATGAATAGGTACGTCATGGAAACCTCCACCAGTCAATGCCTGATGTGCAGTCGGCAAACGGTGAGCATAATCCGGAGCCGACGAGTCCGAAATTCAGGTTGAACGACCCGGCCCGACAACACTACACACCGTCGAGAGAACTGTGTCACTATGGGTGTCTGTAATTATGTAGAGTCTATTGCTGTCGCCAAATTCACACAAACCAGTACGCCTGCACCCACAGCGTCCTCGCTGGATTGTCTAGCTAATAGAGATTGTACATGACCCAGGCTGAACAGGCAGCCAACCACGCCACCAGACTGCCTGCACCCGGAGCAGCCGCACCGTCGTCCTTGGGCGGACAGCTGACCGCGGGAGTGGCGCTGCGGCATTCAGTGCTGGTAAGGCTCGATGAGATGCCCGAGGCGGCCTCAGACTCGATACTGGCCTTGCAGGGGCTGGGGGTGGGTGCCGGGCTCGCCAGGAGCGCGCAAGAGGTCACTCCATCGCCACTCAGCTTTGCCGGGACCGGAAGGTACTCCTTGACGTCAAACCCGAGCGCCTGGGTTTTGCCACAATCGTCCCCGGTGGTGATGGTGGTGAGGTTTGGCTGAAGCCCGCCCTTGCGCGTCGTGAAGATGAAGCTCTGCAGAGGCCAATACGTGCGCCTGTGAAAGCCGTGAAAGTCGTTGAGCGTATCGTCATCGTCATAGGCCGTGCCGTTCTCCGACGTGGAGCAGTTGACCCAGCGCAATTGCCAGGAAAATTTCCACACGCGCTCCGTATTGAACTGGCTGGGGATTCCTTTGTACAGAAACGCCGTCGTCTCGTTGGGAGGAAGGTACCTGATCCGGAGGCGCTCGAAGCTGCCTTCGTTGAGTGCGTCCAACGGGGCCACCATGTAGTCCAGTGTCGGGTAAAGCTGCTCGATGGCGGCGGGGTTCTGGACAGCGAAGACGACGGGCATGAGAGGCATGGGCTCAAAGGTGTCGTTGCGCGGGAAGACGACGTCGACCTCTGCACTGCCGGTCGCGTCTGCCCTTGCTAACGTGGCCAACAGGGCGAGCCCGAGAAGGCGCGACTTGAAGACGAACATCGTGTGCTCGCGGTGAGAGGGACAGGGCAGAAGGCTCAATGTTCAGATGAGATCAGATGAAGCAGTGCCGATGCCGAGGTAGATGAAGGGTGTAGACTGATGGTGCCAGTTGACGTGTGCACCGGGGATGCGACTTGCGGTACTGGTCAATGCAGGAGAAAAGGAAGACGACAAGGTCGCGGCTACATCGTCAACAGCATGCCGTCGAAGCAAGCAGAAGCCTGCAGCAAGCAAGATGAAAACTCGTCGACAAGCTCGGTCGCAAATGCAAAACACAACGCGCCAAAAACTTGGACATGTTCCGACGGCGAAGACCGAGCGCAACGTCGATCTCCCGGGCGAGCCCCAAGGGGTCCTTGGCAACTATTTCCAAGTGCCGCATATCCGGGCGGGAAAGGCGCGCGCTACCGAGTAAGCTTGTCTGCCAAGCCGAGCGGACAGGCGTCAGGATCGGGCTAGCAAAACCGATCGCTGCGGTGGTGGCTCTGCCGATGTGGGTATCCGGCTTTGGAGACTCCACGCGGATGCTACATCAGGGCTTCCTTGGGGGCCGAGGGAGAGAAGCTAGGCCTGGCAATACTCGGGTATGAGACGGGCGAAGAGTGAAGTAATGAGCAAATGCAGGATCCCGAACTAATGGCGTGTACTATAATATTATACCGCAAGCTCAACTAGCGTCGGCCATTCCCGTTGGGCTGTTTGCCTGCCGAGTTCAACCACTAGACGAGTCCACATCGCACAAACGTGTCTGCTCCGTTTACCTAAACAGGATACAGGGCGTGATGCTTCTGTGGATATCACACTACTGTCCTTCAATATTGGTTGGGCCTGGGAGACGGCACGCGTTGGATCAGTCTCAATTTGCCCCAGCGCCCCGACGAACCCTCCTCGTGGGCACAAAGCCGTTGGTAACTCGACGTTGCCCGCGGCTATGTCAAAGGCAGCACAGTGTTGCGCACTGGTGAACATTGATGCTGAAGCGATTTTGCGCAGTGTGACAAAGGCAAAGGAACGGCCAAGACTCGAAGCGTCATTTAGACTTGTTTGCATGCGGGTCGACGAGGAGGAACAATTACAGAAGAACGTATAAAAGAAACAGCAGAACAGTTGCTAAGATCTCAGTCTTCCCATTGCAAGGACAGTACCATATCATTTTAATCCCATATCTCTTTGCCAACAACATGTATGCTCAGTCTGCCCTGGTCCTGGCCCTTCTCCCAGAGTTGCTGGCCGCCCGCTCCGTCGGCAACGCCCGACGCGGCGTCGACTGCACCTTTGCCACGGGCGCCAACCCGGGCGACACCTGCGACAACTTTGCGAGTAACTGGGGCATCTCGGTCGAGCAGCTCAAGTCGCTGAATCCCGGAGTCGACTGCGGCAAGTTTGACGGCACCAAGGAGTACTGCGTCCTCGGCGACGTAAACAACGAAGAGCCGACCAAGGCCAGCACCTCCTCCAAGGTCGTGCAGACAACCTCTACCAAGACTACCCCGCCGCCTACCAAGACCACGGCCGCCAACGGCCACGAGCCCACACAGCCTGGTCTGGCCGAGAACTGCGACAAGTTCCACAAGGTCGTTGACGGCGACAGCTGCGACGACATTGAAGCCAAGGCTGGCATCAGCCACGCGCAGTTTGCCAAGTGGAACCCCTACATCAACGACAGTACGTCTTCCTCCATGCTTCGCCATTCCCTTCTCGTCGGGTAGCTGACAATTCGTCTTCAGAGTGCTCCAACCTGTGGCTCGACTACTACGTATGCGTCCACGTCCCGGGAGCCACGACTACGGCTCCTGGCCCTAAGCCGACCGACGACGGTCACTCCCCGACCCAGCCCGGCATCGCCAAGAACTGCGACAAGTACCACAAGATCGTTTCGGGTGACCAGTGCGACGCGATTGAGTGGCAGAACAAGATCACCCACGAGCAGTTCCTCAAGTGGAACCCCGCCATCGACTCCAGTATGTCTCACCTTTCAATATACTGCGCAGCCCCTGCTCTCCGTGTGACATCAGTTGACCATGTCAAACAGAGTGCTCGAATCTCCTGGTAGACTTCTACGTCTGCGTCCACGTCCCTGGGGCTCCCGTCACTGGCGGCCCTCAGCCCCAGATGCCCAACCTCGACTCGAAGTGCAAGAAGTACCACAAGGTTGGCGACGGCGAGGGATGCTACGAGATCAACAAGAATGCCGGCATCACGCTCGACCAGTTCCGCAAGTGGAACCCGACCGTCGATGCCAGGTGCAGCAACCTCTGGGCCGGGTACTACGTTTGTGTTGGCGTATAAGCGAGCTTCGCCATGCACTATCGCACAATCCCCGACAGGATGCAAATGAAAAGCAGATAGAATAGAACGGGCGGCACCACCGTGGTGCATCGTTCTTGTGGAATTTGGTTCCGTCAACGCTGTAGTTAGGAATCTGAACCGGTTTAGAACCACGCAGTGCTTATGTTGGCATAATGGCCAGCGGCAGAACTGGGACGTCAGAGAATGGAAACCACTGACCTGGGACAAAAGGTTCAAAGAGGAGCCGGAGCTTTCGCGATGGGCCGCTGAGCGAGGAGCAACGAGCAGCACGAAATCGCCTCTCAGTGATTGACTAGAGATCTGGGCGGGGCGGGACCTTCACCTCAGTGACCTCACCATCCCAACCAATTCACCGCTTTCTCGTCTCCCTTTGTCGCAGATGCCCTCCCAAATTTAGCGCCCAATGACATGTCAAAGTATGGCAGACCATTCAATCGGAAGCTTCGGGGCCTCGGCACCCTCCCACCACATTTCATTCAGGCGAGGTCGCCTTGGCTTGCTGAGGGGAAATGCCGTGGCGCCGTGCGTTGGAGGGGGCGGGGAGCTTGTAGCTCATCGAGTCCAAAAGGTCGGTGCTCTGGTGTGGAGGGGAAGCTGCAGCTCCAGCAGCTGCGCCTGGGCATTAGTTGCAGGCACAAAGCAAAAAAGCTCTCCTGTTCCGCATGTACAGAACCAAGACTGGAGTCACACAGCATGACGGCAATTGCGACTCTACAATCAAGCCCACGGTGCATATACGAAGGGAAGTTGATGTCCCTCTTTTTCCCGTGGGGATTGCCGGCATGCTCCATGAACCCCGCAAACCAGGGTCAAGCCGCTTCCTGAGGCCTGCCAGGTCCAAGTTCATCGCCTCCGCTGGTAGCGTTTTGCCCTTGTCCCTGATGTCATCGTCTGGCCTCATATCCTCGCATGGCCGATGTACTGGCGGCTAAGGCCCTCGCCAAACTGCAAGCATTCAACCACATGCGTCGGGGTCACATACCGAGATACGAGCACTCGCTGCTACATGCTTCGGGCATGACTAGCCCATGTTGGTGCTGGCACTGATGGGCACAATTCCAGCGTTGATGCCGCGTGGCGCCACAAAAGAAAGTTTGGGCCTCATGGTGAGACTCACGACACAGGACCAGTCAGAACGGCCAAGGCAGTACGCCCAGCACAACCGCTCACACCGGCAGATCTCGCTAAGCTTCTTGTCCAACGGGAGGGCATCTGGGCCGGTTACACAGGTGGGGAATGCCCAACGGGATATTGGAGGCTATTGCCTTCATTCTGATGCAATCGCCCTGAGGAGCTGCCGGTGCCCGAGGGCTATAACCCCCGCACCCCCAAGGCCACGAGACAGATCCCATTGTTCACTTGGAATTGCTCACAAGCTCTTCTTGAGCCCAATTCATCTTCACGTTGCAGAACCCCCATAACGGGAGAGCGAGCCATCAAGATGACCACCACCGTGACCACCACCAACCGCCCAGATGAGTGGAAGATTGAGCAGGGCCTGTCGGGCGCCGTGCTCCCCGTCCTCGACATGACCAAACGCAAGACGGAACGTCTGGCGATCCAAACCTTTGGTCCTCTCACCAAGGACGAGAAAGCAATCAAGTCCGTCGGCAACCGCAACAAGCTCTTTGCTGCTGAACGGAAGGGTTGGACTGGGTGAGCTACCTCTATGTCGTGCCCTTGCCTCGGCCCTTGTCTGCATGCTCTCCTTGGCTAAGACTTTGTCCATCGCACCTTAGGTTCGTTGAGTGGGAGAACTATCCGGACAAGAAGGCTGCGGCGCACAAGATCTTGACCTCTCAGACCTTTCCCCCGAACCCAGAGTTCCAGCTCGGTGCAATTCCAGGCACCAACCCGGTCCTGCCTGGCACTCACTGGAAGATGTGGCACCACGCCATTGGTGGCGAGCTCACCAAGGTCCCTGAAAGCTCTTGGGAGACGGTCCTCAAAGAGAAGCACCCCGATATGCTGCATCTGTTGCAGTTCCCCTACAATGGCGAGCCCCCCAAGCGCCTTGTCACGGATGAGGAAATCACACCCAACTCGCTTCATTTCGTGAGAAACCATGGCGGTATCCCTATCATCGAGAAGGAGGACTACAGTTTTCTGCTAGATGGCCTTGTGACAAAGCCCCGTTCCTTCACCTTGGATGACCTCATGGATGAGTCCAAGTTCCCACGCATGGAGAAGACCATCACAATGCAATGTTCGGGCACTCGTCGGATTGAGCAGATTCTCAAGTATCCTGGACAAGGCGACGAGGTTCCACAAGCACCCTGGGCTGAGGGTGCTATCGGCACCGCTCGCTATGTTGGCGTCAGCCTGAAGAAGGTGATCAAAGCCTGCGGCGGCTTGAAGGACGGCGCCAAGCATCTCGAGTTCTATGGGGCCGACACCTATTTCAAGGACGACAAGACCATGAACTATCTCGTCAGCGTTCCCTGGTCCAAGGTTAAAGCGAACGAGGTGATGTTGGCCTGGGAGATGAACGGCGAGGTCCTCCCCAGGATCCACGGGTACCCACTGCGTGTCATCGTCCTGGGCTACATTGGGGCGAGGAGCGTCAAGTGGCTGTACCGCATCAAGGCCATTGAGAATCCCTCGCTTGCGCCTGTACAGAGCCAGGAGTACCTCTACTTCCCGCAGCAGGTCGGCAAGCACAACTTCAAGCTCACAGACGGCATTCAGATCCAAGAGATGCCAGTTAGCTCCGCCATCATGTCGCCGTGGACCAAGCAAGTCGTCGTCCACAACGGCAAGATCCGTTGCAAGGGCTGGGCCTACTCCGGAGGTGGTCGATGGCCGGAGCGTGTCGAGCTGTCGGCCGATGGCGGTTTCAACTGGTACACCATTCCGGACCAGAACCTGTCCAAGAAGCGGCGATGGACCTGGCGTACCTGGTCGTACGAGCTACCCTGCGACGTCGAGGGCTGGGTCGAGGTCGTCGTGCGATGCTGGGACAACGCCCTCAATACCCAGCCGCCCGAGGTGCGCACGGCGTGGAACTGGGGCTTACATGTTACCAGCTCCTGCCACCGACTCTCGGTCTACAGCGTCAACAAGTCCAGGCCACTGACCAAGGCTCGCCTGGCCGAGTTTGAGAAGGCCGGAATCCCCTTTGGCCCAATTACTGTCCCTCTCGCGTTCCCGGCTCAGACCTGGGAAGACTACGAAAAGTATTGGAATGAGCATGATCCGCGTGATGCAGAGGACGACTAATCCGTCAATTACCTACACCAAGCTGGTGGCTTGCCTTTGGCGCGGACATGCAAGCAGGTCAGGAAAATTGCTCTATCAATTGAATCTTCGTCCCATCGATATGAGATAGCCAGAAAGGAAGGAGCCTGCGCCTTCCGTCCGCCAGTCTGTCAAGGCTCCATGTGATCAATGTGCGATCGGGCCGTCGTTCAGCGGCCGCCATGTGAAGTTTGGGCAAACCACGACGGATTGGTCGTCTGGCAGACAGTGGATATGGTCTCAATAGCTAGCAAGACGAGTCGAGGACGATCACGACTTCCTTCATAAAAGTTCATGTTCTTGCTCAACTGGTAGCGATCCACTACTAACACAAGTGTCAACGTGACTTGATCAATGATACACACAATCTGTTGTACATGCCCACTGCTCGACAATCCATCCAAATCACTGGCAAGACTAGAAACTGCTTCAACACCGCGCCACCTTCTTTGTATGTTGGTGTTACATTGCCTGCTTCGATGTCGCTTGCTGGTCATATGTCCTAGTCGACAGGGACCGCCCGCATCTGCTGCAAAAGTTGTCTTGCGCGCTGCACTTGGTTCCGCACTCAGGGCAAAAGGCTACCGCGGAGTCCGCAGCGCTGGTGCTCCGGGGTCGGGGAGGAACATCTGCCATCGCCCTCGCGGGTTGAAGGTAGGGCGAGGGTGACGCTGGCGAGCCGAAGGGGTCATTGGCCGCATAAGTAGGAGGCACGCCGGGAGGCGGTTGCACAATGACTGGGGCAGGTCCCTGCCCAGGGGACCCAGCTGGTTGCTGCATCTGCTGGCCGCTACCCCCGGCCTGTTGCTTGGCGATCGCCTCGTTCACGGCTTCGTCAACGGCGCGTTGGCTGCGGAGACGTTGGTTCTCCTCAGCATACCGCCTCAGCTCGGCTTCTTGCTGCATCTGGTACTGCCTGTCGGCCTCCATGTAGGACTGCTGTCTGGCGCCATGTCTGGCTGCGGCCGTCGCAGTACCGGCAAGGACGGCCGCGCCGAGAATGGGGGTGCGTCGTCTTCGGCCAAACATTGTACTCTGCTTGCTGCTGGTGGGCTTATACGCCGCGAATCTTGGGTGGAGCAGGCGTCTGACTGCTCTTGGATCGGTGCGAAATTACACGAATGCTACTCCTCGGGGGCAGGCGTGTATTCCAAAGAAACTGGTGTCAAATGTGTTAGCGACACGTATCATGTATGCGTATAAGGTACGCCAGAATAAAGGAATTGTTCGACGTACATTTATGTCGAAGGGTAGGCACTATTGGGTTTGTCCGGCCCAGAGAGAAGACGCAAATGCTCTGCCAGTTCATATATACGGGGAACCCATCGCCACACGGGACGTCAGCGGTACGAGCGGGATGTGTGGCTTGCGCCAATTGACATGGCCACGAACCTTAACGCGCGCTACCCTCACCACAGCCAATCCCGCACCGACTGTGAGATCTCAGCCCCAATCAATTGGGCCATTTCTGGGGGCTGAGCCCAAGCTCTTCGCACCCGCTAACGAGACCGTTGACGACGTCAACGCTGGAGGCCAACTTGAGCGCCGGGCCGGCGCCGAGAGGAGGCAGCGACACATTGAAACCGAGGGCCGCGACATCCGACATGTGTTGGACGGCGTTGCCCGCCCTGCCGATTTCGCAAAACGGATCTCTGTTTTCTTTCACCTGCGTCCAGCTTAACATGTCCCCCCCCAGTCTCTGGGAGGACTACTTGAGCGTGTCCACGGCCAAACCTTTGTGTAATCTGAGTTGTGACTGCCCAACTGCCATTGAAAGAGGTTAAATGGCTTCTGCTAGATAATGGACTCCTCTCAGCTCACAATTGCTTGCCTATCGCAATTTCGTTTCCGGATTTTTACGACTAACGAACCGATGTTCACATGGTCTTGGCTCTGGCAAACTACCCTAGATAGCACATCTTTTGAGCATCGGGAAAGGGACCACGCGAGCTCTGAAGATCTCAGGCCAAACGCAGAAAATCATCGTGATACACCCACAGCCGGTTTGCCGGCTCACCTGCCGTTGCTTGCTTGCGGGTCATGTTCATGAGCGACCGCGACGATTTGATTCACTCCAATGCCCGTGTCGGCATGAGTAAGAGCCCAAACGAGACGCGCGAAGCTTCACGATTGGACACGCTCGCACTCAACGGAGTTGCCGAGGCCAATCAGGTAGCACAAACCAAGCGTTGGGCAACATCCCGTTGGGTTCATCAACCTTCTGCTGCACCAACAGCGAAGATCGCTCCATCCCGTATGCAGGCTCCCTCGGGCATCCCCGCCAACAGCGCATTGGTCACGTTGTACAGAGAACCAGCATCATAAATATGCTCAGGTTTTGCCTTCCGCGAGAACGGAGAAAACGTAGCCGAGGTATCTCAGCTGCGCCAGTACAAGCCGATTCACCCATCATTCCAGATCTTGCGTCGCCAGTGTCTGAAGCCTGTGCTGTCTGCAGTCATGGGCCAGCCAACAGAACATGAAGCCCATGAGCTTCCTACGAGAGATATGGCAGACGAGATTGACCGACTGGCTGATGCCGCGGATGCCAACGCCCAGGAACACGAGCTCACATTTTGGGAAGCTCTGCGGCTGTATCCCAAGGGTGTACTCTGGAGCATTGTCATGTCCACGGGAGTAGTCATGGAAGGCTATGATGCCAAGCTCGTCGGCACGCTTTACGCCCAGCCGGCGTTTCAAAAGGCGTTTGGGACCCATGTCAAGGGCAACTCGTACCAGATTTCGGCGCCATGGCAAACGGGCTTGAGCAACGGCTCCGCTGCTGGTCAGCTTATCGGTCTCCTCCTCGCTGGTTACCTGAGTGAAAGGTTTGGCTTCCGCAAGACCATGATGGGAGGACTTGCCACCATCGTGGCGTTCATCTTCATGACCTTTTTCGCGCCCAATATTGTTGTACTGGCAGTCGGACAGACTTTATTCGGTGCGTTGGCCTTGGGTTTCTCTCTTTACATGTACCTACTTCACCCTCGTATACTTACTCGTGTGTGGGCATCTCTAGGCGTCCCATTGGGCCTGTTTCAAACAGTTCCTGTAGTCTATGCGTTGGAGATCTCTCCGTTATGTCTACGGCCGTATCTTACAAACTATGTCAACTCTTGCTATGTAAGTGAATCGAAGGTGTTCCATGAGGGAGCGGTCCACTAAGGCCTGGTGTTACAGGTTATTGGCCAGATTCTCGCCACCGGAATTCTGCGTGGCGTACTTGACATTGAGAACGAATGGGCTTACCGGATCCCCTTTGCGGTGCAGTGTGTATATCCCTTAGCCCGATCATGGTCGCCGTCTCTGACATAAAGGTCAAGGTGGGTCTGGCCTATCATACTCATCCCGCTGCTATTCTTTGCACCCGAGTCCCCGTGGTGGCTCGTTCGGAAAGGCCGCTTGGAAGAAGCCAAGAAGGTTTTACAGCGTCTCACTTCACCCCAGAACACCAACTTCGACATCGACAAGAACGTTACTATGATGGTGGCGACAACGGAGCACGAGCGTACAGTGAATGAGGAAACTTCGTACCAGGCTTGTTTCCAGAGCACCAACCTCAAGAGGACGTTGATTGTCATTGGTATTTACTGCGTTCAAACCCTCAACGGCAATCCCCTACGTGGATACTCGACCTACTTCTTTCAGCAAGCGGGCTTGCCTACTACTCAGGCTTTCAATCTGGGTGTAATCGGATATTGCGTAGCCTTGATTGGCGGTATCGTCTCGGTAAGAATGCTCCATGTCAACATTCTGACATCCTTCAGAAACATCACTCTGAGAGGCCTCAATCACTGTACTATACCTATGCAGCGATGCCTTTACCACTAATACTGCCGCTTCTAGTGGATGATGTTGCCCTTTTTCGGGCGACGAACCATGTACTTTTGGAGCCTGGTACTGATGCTCCTCATCATGGTTCTTGTCGGTGGTATCGGAGTAGCGCAGTCACACTCTGCCAACTCCTCCTACGCCTGGGCCATTGGCTCGCTCATCGTGATCTCGTCATTTCTGTATAATTGCTCCATCGGCCCCCTGACAAACACGTTGTGTGGCGAGCTACCATCGACTCTCCTTCGCAGCAAGTCAATCGTCCTCGCTCGATGGACGTATATCGTCACCCACATAGTGGCCGGCGTGCTCACGCCATACCAGCTGAATCCCACGGCGTGGAACTGGGGCGCTAAAACAGGATTTTTCTGGGCAGGCGGGTGCTTGATCTCAGTTGTATTCGCGTTCTTTTATGTTCCTGAGCCGCGAGATCGAACTCCGGCAGAGCTTGACATCCTGTTTGAGACAAATGTTCCGCCGCGACACTTTGCCAAAACCAGGGTGGACTTATCCACAACGCTCTTTGAGCGCGATGTCAAGACGGCTTGAGACAGAGAGTCTGTAATGACTGGATATAGCTCACAGTTGGGGAAGCGCACCTCCACGGCCATTGCGAGTTCGAGCGGGGAACGGGGGATCTGTTATAAAAGCATCTGTAGCAGGGAGTTCTTCGTAAAGATGTTTAGCAAAAATCAGAACTGTCGCACCGACCTCGTACGGCCAACACTCAATTCGCCCTGTCCAACGATCCAGACAATGAGCCATCATCCAACAGGCTTCCAAACATGGCTGCCTCCATCAAAAAGTTCACCTGCCAAGCGTGCTGACTGGCATGGGCCAACAGCCAGGACATTTCATGGGTTATTCCCTCTTCCCAGCACTGTATCAGACTCTCCTGAAGCCCTACACAAAGCTCTCTCTCCCGCTGTTCGTCGACCAAGCCGCCACGAGCATACTCAAGTGGGTCGATCACTAGGCTCGACCATAGCCGGCCCAAGGTATCACAGGCTGGATGGACCTCAGTGACTTCCTTTACCTGATTGCAGGTGTCATGGCCATCGCAGGCGTTTTGAAGTGACCTGCTAAAGCCCGTGGTATGGAGGTTCTCGTCAAACGTCTCGTTCAGGTCGGCCTCACGCTGGTCTGGCTTTGTCCGCCGCACCTTTGCATACCCTAGCACTATGCGTCGGAAGAAGAAGTGGCGGTCGTTGAGAATGTGCCAGGGATACAACTGGGCGTTCATCTTTGCAGTTGGTGTGGTCCATCTCTCCGTGAAGATACGAGCGCAAGTATAAGAATACGCGTCGTACACTGTCCTGAGAATATCCTCTGTGACGACGCCACTGTTTGTAACGTCACTGGTATTCAGGAATGAGTTCATGATCTCGCTGTTACCGAGATCTGAGCCAACATCAACCACATCTGTTGCAGGTGACGAGAAGACCATGTCTGCCATCACAGCTGCGGGGTCAAAGCCACGCTTCATTGCCTCAGCTGCCATACCGATCAGGCTGCTTTCGGAGAAACTGACGACCTGCATTGTGCGACGATCCACTCTTGCTGATTTGCCAGGCAGGTTACGGTAATGCATTGTTTCCAGGTCGACCTTGCCACGTATGTAGCGAATGCCCTGTGCGGCGGCCTTGCGTCGATACGGACCAGCAAATGTCGAGAGAGCGTGACGGTGGCCGTGCCCAAGATCGTTAATTGTGTCCTGGAATTCGGGAAACACTTTGTGGTACCCATGCTCGTAGTAGAAAGCCATGTCGCCGCAATAATTGGAGCAAAGGGTCTCGAAATCGCAAGCACCAATCGCCAGGTTTGCCCACACAACTCCGAAGACGGAATTGTTAGTCTGTAGTGGCAGTGGCCAGTGCTCTGCTCCAAGGCTCTTGAGCATGCTTTGAGGCGTCCGTTTGAGCCCAAAGCCCTTCCTGGGTAGCGCCCGCCCCGCCTGATGTTGCTGTCGTTTCCATGTCTGGAGATCCTCTGACAATCGGATGGCGGCAAGTTCAGTAGCCTCTTGGGGAGCGGACAGCTCCGCGGTGTCGTAGATGTGAGCTATCATGCGTAGCGCTTCGCTCACGAGCCTTTCCACGTCCTCGTAGGTGCCATCTCCTATAAGAGAGCCGGCCTCTACATTGCCGCTGTGAGTGGGAAGGGACTTGGCGTATTGCTCGTGTGATTTCTCGCCCCACAAGTATGTTGCAATTGGGATGGAACTGTACCGAGCCATGTATTTGGACGATGGCTTTAGACCTGGGCTTACCTGGTACTGTGCTGCCTCGGTCTCCATGTTTTCAGATTTTGATGTAGTCACACACAGGTAAGCTGGGGATTGCAGGCAAACAGGTTGAGAGAGACCTCCCAGAATCATGGGCGGGCTACAATTGACTATTTGAGTGCTATTTGGAACAAGGAGACTGTGTTCGTCCCTGAACCGTACCGCCACAGCACTCCGTATCTGCGACCCGACGGAATATGTGCCTCAATTGTCCTTGAGGTACCAACTCCTTTTGCTTTGTCGCGACCAACAGAGCCGTTGGACAAGTGCATGGGTGGGGTTCTAGGCACCATGGACCTAATGCATCCCGGCTTTGGCCAACGGCTGCGCTCTACCGCGCCTGTATCATTCCGTCTGCTTCTTTTTGGAGTGGCCGGCCAGTTGAGGCTGGGCTACCTGTTGACGCCCTTGCGTGGCGTCTCTGTTCATACCGAAACGCTGATAGGAGAGGGCAGGCGGATGGCCGTGCCTAGGCTCCGCTGGGCGTGAATCAGTTCTTGGCCTTACGCCCGAATAGTCCTGACAGGTTGAATAGCAGGGGCACTTAGTGCGGTGGATGAGAAAGAAGGGGCGCTGTTGCCTGAGGTAGCTCTCATTTGAAGGGGATTGTTGCTCCATATCGATCCCCCTGGGTCCAGGCAATGCACCGACGCCTCCAATTGCGACCCAGTTTTCCATGACGCACGGAGTAGCTCGAGACGACAAAACATATAGCCACTGTTAGTGGTCAAGGCTCGTGGTTGGTAATAGCGGCCACTGGCCAGACTTAGGTCTAATATGGTACTGTACAGTACTGTAATGTACTGTATGTAGCCTTAGAGTATTGGGCTTACGCGATCCCTTCACCTGCGCGGGCTGTTCAGCGAAGGGGTTGAGGTGCGGGAGATGTGCCTGCCAACCGCGAATCGGAGACTTAGTACGATGTAGTTGCACAGCAGCTCCCCCATTCATCCACTTGGGCGCGCCAGTTTTGCGCGCCAACAATGGCTCGACCCCTGTGGCGCAACGACCATCCTGCATGCACCAGCACGAAGTTGCTTGGCATGTGAACCATCACTTACACCGATGGCGCCGGTGTGGCGTTGGACGCCATGAACTTGTCAGGACAAGACGCGCGCATTGGATGCCAGTGAAAGCACGGCTAAGAAGTCCTCCTGGCGAAAGCCAGTTGTGAGCAGGGACAAAGGGGATGGATGCCCTGCACGTGAGTGTTGCCGAGCCCGAAGTCAGCATTCGCCGCTGCCTTGAGCCATGACTGGTGAGTCGTCATCTGCGAGCTTTCCTGGAAGCAGTCCTCTGCATCTTCCCATCTTCGGACAATTGTGCAGATTTACGTCCAAGAGTCTCACCGTCTGGTCATGCACAGCGACCTCGTTGGGCCCTTTGGTACTTCTCCAAACGGCGCTTGCGTTTATTTATTCATGTTACGTTTACATCATCTGAGCCCAATACCTCGCTAGAATTTTGTCATGGTAAGGGTTCTCTGCAGGCGGTGGCTATGAGCCGAAGAAAAGCGCATCGAATGTGTCCAACACCCCTCCACCATTGAACGCATCATCCCAATACGGGTCGAAGCCGATGTCTTTGGATCCGTCAACGGCGCTTTCTAAACCGCTGAGGGGCGTCACCACGGGCATTGCGAGCTGTTGTGCCGGTTGCGAAGGATTTGGCGGGGCTGCTGGAGTGAGGGAGGGTTGCTCGGTGCTGAGACTCAGCGGCGTGTTGTCAACGTGTGTTCGGCGTGACAAGGGGGATTGCATTGACGAAAGTCCCGTGGGGGCGATTTCCTCCTGCCGTTTTGACGTGGCGCTGACAATCTTGATGGTTGCACGCGCCATTTGATCGAAAACGTCGAGGTACGCGCTGGCTTGCGGGCACTTCCCTTCCATATCGGCGAACACCGATTTCGCGGCCAGAACTGTAAAGTCGACTTCGTCCAAGGTCTGGAATGGCGCCAATTGTCAGCTTGAGCAATTTTCTTTGAACGGAACATGGCTGACTTACCACTCTCCCTCGCAGCGTTTCAGAGGAATGAATGGCCTCCAGATATGACATTCCTGCCACAAACAGTTGATGCGTAGATATGTAGGTGTATCGGATGAGCCCTTGGAGATGCAGCTGCCGGTACAGGCGAATCACCTTCTGGCCTGCCTCGGCCACTTTGAGGTGTGACTGGTCGGTATCCTCGTCACGATCCGCTTTCCTCCCGTTCTGCTTTCGGTACAGGGCCTTCTTCAGAGCAGGGTTGCTTCCCCTCTTCCCATGAAGGAGTATGACCGCTTGCCAGTACCCCAACTCTAGAAACAGGGTAGAGTAGGCGACTCCAGTCTCTTCCGAGGTGGGGGTCGAGGCTCTCCATAAATGAAGTCGTTTCTCCATGTCCACGAGCCAAGACCCGAAAGAGTCAAAATGAGCTATGAAGGGGCATGGCGTATTTGTTTGCGCCGAGTAGTTGCGTCTCTTCTTTGCCGCTCTGGCGACTTTCCCCTGGTTGAACTGCAACACCTGTACGATCTCGGATTGGAGCAGGTGCAGGCGGAAGTGATGATGTGAAGCATGTTTGTAGCTCGGGCCATTCGCATGCGGGGGTTCAATGAACCCAGACTCGGTGATGTAATCGTCATCCAGCAATGACGGCAGCTCAGTTGTGATGGCGTGCTCGTTGATGCCAAAAGGCCGGCCCACGCATGTGCTCACGAGGCGGTCAAAAGTGTAGGTGCACCACCATAGGCGGCGACGCAGATCACGGGTCCACTGCGATCGACCGTGCTCTGAGTTCGTTCCCTTGCTCGTGGTTTCGCGCGGGGCAGTCTTGTCAGAGTCGAGGGCGTCGGCGTCATCGGCGTCATCGCTGTCTTCCTGATGAAGACCCAGGTCTATCGCTAGACAGACGGCCACACCTGTTATGTACCTGTTCGATCCAGTCAACAACTGTGCAATCTTGGCAACATGAATGCTGGGCTAGCTCACCTGAGTCCTGGTGGAACTGGTCGGAGCAGTGCAAAGTTGGCGAGCATGAGGATGGCTTGTAGCACCTCTAGTCCACCGTTCGTGCCAGTTAGACAAGCCTCCAGGTGGACGATGGCCTTCAGGTAGTAGTCCTCAGGTGTGCTGTTCGTTCCAGAAGTCTCAAGCAAAGACAGCTTTGACTCCATTTCGTCATGCTTCCCTGGCTGAGAGTCCGCAACCGTATCGGTAACATCGCAGCCCATGGCAAACACCATATTGACGATGTACAGCTCTCTGGAAGTCGTATTCGCCTCGTCGCCATCGTAGACGTTGTGAAGCATGCCCATGAGATCACCTCGGTGGAGAATAGGGATGTGGGGGTTGACATGCTCAAAGTAAAGATTGGCCAGGCGCATCGCTACCGTCTTTGGTGGGAGGGTATTCCGTACGGTTGGTGAATGGCCCAGGCTCTTCGTCATGCCGCCCCTCATTTCAGGGCCCCTGCGTCGGGCAGGCCACGTTGTATTTGCCTCGGCATTCTTTGACGGAGGCTGTTGTAGGGCGGTGAACACTAGTGACGAGAAAGACACACCGGATACCGATGCGAGCCATCCTGACTTTGGGAGACTGAACTCGCTGAGCTCTGAGCCCATGCGAGAGTCGTCTCGAGAGACCAGGCTCACATCTGACGCATCCGAAGGGCTTTCATCGGCGTGCCTTGACTTCTTTGTACTTGACTTCGTTTGATCTTTTCCTTGGGACGCGGAACATAAGAGGTCGAGATTCTCGGATGAGGGGAAGGAAATGTCATGTGAAATGAGGATGTTCTCAAGCTGCTCCACACGACTCTCTAGATAAAACACGTAGCTAGGCGTGGAGGTCAGTGGCATGCCTCAAACACGGCGGAGAGGTTTGCGTACCTGCGGGGGATGGCGCGCTTCGTTATGGGGTCATCGCCTACGCAAGCTACGCCAGCCTTTGCGCAGCTTGCACAGCTTGGCAAACGCTGGTCACACCGGTTCTTGCGCATCCGGCAACGCGTGCACGCGCTGACATTGCGGAAGCTGGCACATTGGCCCGCTTTGCTTCGTCCGGTCGTGCTGTCGTGGTCAAAGTCGCTGTCGTCCTGACTCGGCGACGCTTGGCGACGACGTTTGGCCGATGGTCTGACGCCCGGCGAAGGCGAATCGCGTGTCGGCATTGTGCAGTGCCGTATGAGTGCGGAAAGGATGTCGAGAGATATGTGTGATGAGACTTGGAACCGTGCAAGGCTTGGAGGTGATGGGGTTGTTGCACCAGGGCAACGTCGCTGGCGATTGACTCAGTGTCGACACCAGTGGCGTTGGCACAGCGGGCGGTACCGCTAACGCGTCGGTTCTGCTGCAAAAGCGATGTGGCCGGCTGCGGGGATGACAAAAGGTTCACCGTAGACAGCAAATGCTGAGAAGCCGTAGAATGACCCCTCTGTCGACGTTGTCTGAGCATTCAAAGGATGGAAGGTGTTGGGGGATTGACGCCAAACTATCGATGAGGGGAACTTCGCTAACAAGCGAGGCGGAAGCGGCCGGGCTCTCCCGCCGATGACGGAGCCAAATTTAGGAGTCCACCGGCCCTCACCGGGGTCCATGACCCACCACCGCCGTCCCAACCAAGGCTAGTCCAGGACGGGATGCGAGGCACAACGCGGCAGGGCAGTTGGACTGGCCAAGATGTGATTCAGCGAGGCAGATCGAGGCCGTAAAACTTCAGGTCTTGCCCGATAAAGAGTCCTTGCATGGACCTAAGTATCTCTGGAGTTCTCGAGTGTCTGCCGACCCGCCCACACATGCAGTGACCTGATAGCCAGAGCTCGGTCATCGGATGCCTGTGGTACGTGTTCCCCACGTTTGATGATCCGGCGGCGCAGAGGTGGCAAAGGATTCGATCCACGCATGACTTGCTTATCGTGAGGCACAGCAAACGCAAAAGACAGGTGCTTTGCCCCGCAACCACACGTTTCCAAACCGGCGTGCGCGTCCCAATCAGCAGACATGGCTCGATACAATCGAGTAATTGCGGAGCTCATTGACTCGATAGAATCGAGTAACGGTGGGGTAAGAAACGCGGGGTACTGTGGAGTCGGGACTTACACTACCGGGCACTTCACGATCGGCCAAGTGTGATTGAGAGGGCTTCCGCCCAGTCTTCGCGCTGCCGATGCAACAACTCCGCAATCTCACGACTATTTCATCCTTGTTCCTAGCCGCATTGCCGGCCGGCCTATCATGGCAATGACTAGCTGTTGTTGTTCGCGGTGACATGGCCCAAAGCAAGACGGACCGGCTCAATGCTAGCAAACGCCGACACGTCAAGGGGGAGATTGATTGTGTTGGCACGAAAAGAGACGGACAAAACCCGTCAACCCGTAGCGAATTCGTACCAAGCCAGAAGGCACCACAGATCTACAGCGATAGCCCAACGACAATATTCTGACTTCATATGCCCAATACCCCGCTCAGTGTCGCTTTAAAAGGCCAGCGAAGCCGTTTCTCGCACCCGTCTGTTGTAGTAGGCCCAAACCACTTGTCGCCATTCTATGGCAGGTGCTCACTCCGGTCTCGTTACACCATTCTCATATCTTGAATTCTACGTATCAGATACGGCCATATCTGTATCTGCTATCAATCAGTTCTATCAGCGTTGTTGCCCTGTCTCAGCTGTGCCTGAACTCCCGTCACCATGCGCCGTATACCCTGGACCAGGCCTCGACTAGAGATGCTTGCTGTCCAAACACAGCCCGGACTGTCCGCTGCGCAGCTGATGGTGTGTTAGCATTTCTCGCTCTGTCAGAGCTTCGCTAACATGTGGACCTGCTGTAGCTTGTGAATCATGACCTAACACCAGTGGAAAAGGAACGTCGACAATGGGGCTCATGGAATTTCGTCGGATTCTGGATTGCTGATTCCTTCAACATCAACACTTGGATGATAGCGTCTTCCATGATTTCTGGTGGTCTGTCGTGGTGGCAAGCCTGGCTTTGCGTTTGGATCGGATATGCTACGGCTGCTGCCTTTGTCGTCCTCATCGGGCGTATTGGAGCTGTCTACCATATCGGCTTTCCCGTCACCAACCGAGCATCCTTCGGTATATGGGGAAGTCTGTGGCCGGTCTTCAATCGAGCTGCTATGGGTATGCTCCTTGGTCACGTATCATGTTCCCGGGCACAGGCTGACGTGCATAGCGTGCATTTGGTACGGCGTGCAGGCTTACATTGGCGGCCATTGCGTCTACATCATGATAAGAGCAATCTGGAAATCCTGGGATCGTGAAAAGATGCCGGGTCCGTTTGATCCCGAGGCAAGTAGCGTGCCCGAGTATGTTTCCTTTTTCCTCTTCTGGCTTGGCTCTCTGCCTGCGATATGGTTTCCGGTCCACAAGATTCGGCACCTTTTCACCGTCAAGGCCTTCTTTGTGCCTCCGGCTGCCATTGGATTTATGGTATGGTGTATTGTCCGTGCCGGTGGCGTTGGTCAGATCATCAAGCAGCCAAACACCATACACGGCAGTGACCTGGCTTGGGAATTCGTCAAGGGAATCATGTCGTCAATTGGCAATTTTGCTACTCTCATCGTCAATGATTGCGACTTTGCTCGGTTCGCACGCCGGCCGAAAGATGCGCTCTGGTCTCAGCTCATCGCCATTCCAACATGTTTTGCAGTCACATCTTTTATCGGGATCATTGTTTCGTCGTCTTCCACCGCCATTTTCGGGCACGCCATTTGGGATCCACTAGACATTTTGGCCAAGTTCATCGACGATGGGTCTTCTGCAGAGCGCTTTGGTGTCTTCGTCATTGCACTTGCGTTCTCCCTGGCTCAACTGGCTGCCAATATTGCTGCGAATTCTGTATCAGCAGGAAGCGATCTTACCGCCCTTCTACCGCGATTTGTCAACATACGACGCGGAGGGTATATATGTGCGGCCATCGGTCTTGCGATGTGTCCTTATAACCTCCTTACCAGCTCGAGCAACTTTACAACCTATCTTTCAGCCTACAGTGTTTTCCTGAGCTCTATAGCTGGCGTGATGGCCACAGACTATTACATCGTTCGAAAGGGCTATCTAGATGTCAGAGGCCTCTACGACGCTCGCAGCTCGGGGCCATACTACTACACCATGGGCATCAATTGGCGCGCTTACGCTGCCTACATTTCCGGAATACTTGTGACCATTGTCGGCTTTGCCGGGGCTGTTGGTCAATCTGTCCCGATCGGCGCCGTGTACCTCTACAACGTCAACTTCTTCTGCGGATTCATTATTGCCTCCATCATGTACTGGGCGCTTTGCACGATTTGGCCGATACCAGCAGTGAGCACCTGTTGGATGGAGGTTGGGGACGTTCTCGATGATATAGACGTTGCGTATGATGCCAAACTTGGCGACAATTGCAATGATGCCACGAGCACGAGGGAGGGTAAGTTAGGAGATCGGGCAGATGTCTAGGGCCTTCAGCAATGAGCTTTGAAGAAGAGAGGGATCAAGCCCTGCACTGAAGTGACTTCAGCTCGGGGATGATGGCACAGTGATCATGAGATGACAGAAGTTGGACGAGTGATGACAACGATAGTGAGAAACAGAGCCTTCAATGTCATGCAATTTTCAGACTATATAACGAACTCCTGTAGCGGAGTAAATTTACATGTATGGTACCTTGAAATCCCCCGAAGTCTATTCTGAGCCTCCATACCTGCCTTAGCAGTCTCGCATGCATTTATAGCTGTCAGAAGATGCCTTGTCTCCCCAGCCTTGGTACTTGGCAACCAACGGATATCGGCAGATCTTCCGCGTGAATTGCACCGCCGAGGTGGGGAGAGTCTTTGCCTCAATCTTCTCGGGCGCTCGCCCCTTCTCGACCCAAGACACAAGGTCGTTGAAAGGAGACGGTACGGCTCCTGGGGTAGGACCATAGCCGCAGTGATCGACGCCGGGAGCCAAGAACAGTCGGAAGAAGTCAAGCGTGGCCTTGGAACCGCCCAAGACACGCTTCACTTCCTCGTAGTAGCGCACGCTACCTTGAGGGAAGATGAGCTGGTCAGCCAAGCCGTGCCACATGATCAGCTTGCCACCCGATTTCTTGAACCGCGAGAGATCAGGGTTCGCAGAGCCAATGATCTCGTCGAATGTCTCCCTGGACTCCCGGAAAAGCTGCACCAGGGCATCGGTGTCAACCGAAGCTGTGTCGAACTTGGGATCCCGCTTGACGAAGAATCGAGTCCAGCCATCAGCCACAAAGACTGGCTTGCCAAATCGCGTTCCGTTCGCCTCTCCAGTTTCGGCGAGATTCCAGAGGCTTGCACCAATCTCGAGACCATACCAAAGGCTCTTACCGTGACGGTCTCGGGGCCCATCCCAGATTTTGCTGACGATGGAGGCGAGCTTCTCGTTGATCACCACTTCCTCCTTCGCGCTAGGGCATTGGAGCTTCTTACCGACCACTGTGAAAGGGTCAAACTTGCAATGCGATGGCTGAGTGATAACATTGTCCTTGACTTTGTCGAGACCATCGCATGCTGCAATGCCGGCCTGGACAATAGCCTCATATTCACATTGAGTCGGGAAGTAGTTCTCTGCCTTCATAACGACCTGGGGCCAGAGCTCCGCAATGACGTACTCGGTCCAGTAAATCGCAGGCGAGCCGGCCAGAACGCCGTCAAAGTCCTTAGGGTACTTTTGGGCAGCGACCATGCCCTGTCGACCGCCGGTCGAGCAGCCGTTCCAGTACGAGTACTTTGCCGCATGTGAGTAAAAGGAGGCCGTTACTGCCTTTCCAACAATAGCCATGTCGTGGATGGATCTTGAAGCGAAGTTGGTCAAGAGATCCATGTTGACGCTACCGTCTGCGTTCAAAGCCCAGAGTTCCGGGGAGTAAGGCGATCCGATGAGACCGCCATCGGTTGTGGACGCTGCGTAGCCCTGTGAAGCTGGCTCTGCAAGGCTGACGAGGCCGGTTCCGGCTGCCCAGGCGCCGCCCCCTACGGCAACGAATCGCTTGTTCCATTGGTGTACCGGGAGCCAAGTCTGCACAGACACGGTATCGTTGGCGCCGGTGTGACGTAGAGTGACGTTGACTTCGCACACATTAATGTTGTCGATGGTATGGTCGAGGATCGGGCTCGATTGCGGTTCGGTATGGTTGAGCCTCAAAGCCGAAGAGATGGAGAGGACCTTTGCACCCGGAACTCGCGGGGCCGGTATCTTCGAGCACTTCGCGGCCGTGTGGTCTAAAGCCTCTGCCCAACACCGGTGGAATAACTGGCCGAGGACCAGCACATAGAGCAGCAGTGCCATGATGACGAATGTGTTTATTTGTTCCGCGTCGAAAGCGGCAACAACATGATGAAACCAGCTGTGAAAGGCTGAATAGCTTTGCTTTATATCACCACTCTGCCATCTCTCGGACTCGTGCAACTGTCCGCGGTCAAGCAGGTGTGCAGTACGCTCATCAAGCCGCTTGGCAGTGCTGTTGTCGGTGACGTTTGCTCATAGGCCAGATTCCAAATAGCATGGTGCCGTTACGTAGTCAAGCCACAATTGTCCTGTGTTCAGGGATTTGGGCATTGGCACGGCCATACTGCACCGGTCGTTTCTTTGCGCAACAGCCCAGACACGCGTCTGATGTCAGCATCCTGCCCAGAGTCAGGCAACCGTCGAGTGAAGCCCTGCAGGTGGCTGCATGGCTAGCGTGACAACAGGGATGATCAAGAACACAGGCTCAGCCGCACAACCGACAACCGGGCCAATTCACCTGATGTCAGACTCAATTTGTTAATTTGTGATCGCCGACCATGAGAATCTCCAACAGGTCGGTGTTTGACCTCCTTCCTACGTCGAAGTACTTACGGGAAGGCCTCATGGGGGGCCTACGAAAGTAAGTCGGAGCTCCAATGTAGCTACGTCATGTTCCGGGTTCGACACGGAGGTCACTACCAAAAAATCTGGGACAGATTGCCGGCATCAATGGCTACTGATGTAGATGCGAATGCGCGACATAGACATGAAGTTTTGCCATGAGCCCGCATGATCGGCGAGAATCAGAAGCAAAAGGTAATATGGCAGGGGCCTCTAGTGAAGATCTATGTGACGGCATGGAGTAGGTGCTACCAAGATATGTTCGTGCGACGTGTGCGACCCTCTCCAGTCTGGCGCCGGCATTTGGTACGGATGCTCTAACCTCTCGGGCGCTGAATTGTTTAGTGTGCAGGGCTTCAAGTCGACAGCACTTCTCCAGTACCCATGCAAACGAGAAGCAAAGCATACAAAAAATCCGTGGGATATGATGTTGCCCCGTTCTTACTGCATGCTTCACAGCCGGCGCAACCACCGTAGTGTTTACAATAAATGGATATATCATGGACTTTAAGCTTATTGTATCTGGGATCCAGGTGCTTGTGGCCGTGACCGAGCAGCAGCGGTGAGCCGCAACCCCCGAAAAGCCAGCGCTGGGCATTGCGGGTGAGCCTATGGGGCGATCAACATGTCAATTTAATGGGAACAAAGGGGATGCTATGACATAGTACCATACAAGTACGGCTGTGGCCGTAGCACGCAAAACACCACATGGAGGGGCTTAGGAGAGTGGAAGGGAATGGGGTTCCACTGATGTGGAATCAGTGCATCAGCGACGGACACTGGCCGGTGCTAGGGGCACCTGTGGCTAAGCGCCAACTGGGACTACGACACTGCTAGAGAGCTTTAGTGACAAATCTTCAGTGGAACGTCGTGGTCCCCAAATCCCCATGGAGGCGCAGTGCATCCCCGCGGATCGACCCATCAAAGACCACAAGATTGCGAGGCGAGGGGGACTCGAGATGTCAGACGAGCATCATAAGGTCTTGGTCCTTCGTAAGGCTGATTCAATTGAAGGTGAAGCGCCAATGTTCAAGGCTGAGTGATCCAGCACCCGCGCCACCAAACCGGATCGCGTGCCGGCACGCCAGCCCTTGCATTCATGTCGGGCCGCACGAGTTCGGCAAGTGCAACGTACTGTTTTTCCCTGCCTGTTACCCAACCAATCCTTCAACATGTTCTCATGCGTTGCCCTGATCTCTGATCCAGCGCATGGCCTCTGTTCGCATACAGTGACCCACCGTTTGTCGGTACATGCCAAACCTTGGCTTTAGTCCTATTCCTGTTTCGCTGCTGACCATAGATATGCAATTAAACCCAAGTTGTTTTCTCTAAATTGCATTGGAACCTCGAGACAACTTGGGAACTGGGCTATAGTGATAGCTTAGGAGTGACGGGCTGGCGCTGAATGAGCGCCTCCGTTCGCACAACTGATCGGAGTCTTGGCCAAGTCATGCACCTCAATCATCGCGGGTCAGGCCAGCCAGGGCTTAGATTGTCCATCAATATAAATGATGTGGGCGGCATTGTGTATTTATTCCTGTCCGTTCGGAGAGCACGGCTTCCACCAGTCATTCGCAACTAGAATCCAATTCACTGTTTTAGCCGCCTGAAATCGCAGCAGCGTGTCGCAAGCTTCCCGAGCTCACAACATGGACCCGAGAAACCATGCCAAACCTGCTTTACGGCAACGTTTGACAGCGCCCGACGACGGAGCCCCACGATGCTCACCGCAACCAACGCCCGCTCGACCACCGCCTGTTCTCTGTCTTGGGATGGCCCGCACAGGCACCGCGTCGCTTGCCGAGGCCCTGCGAATTCTAGGCGTTGGGCGCGTGCATCACGGACTCGAGATTTACCAGAAGGAGTTCAATTACCAATGGCGCATCATCAATCGTGCCGCCGATGCCACCTTCCCGGTACTGCCAACGTACACAGGGAAGCCTTTCACAAGAGAGCAGTGGGACGAAGTTTTTGGAGATTACGACGCCGTCACCGATGTCGCTTCATTCTACGCCATGTCATTGATTCACGCATACCCCGACGCCCGCGTCATTCTTGTCGAGCGAGATATCGAGCGATGGCACGAAAGCATTAGCCAGGTAATGAAGGCGTGGGAGGATCCCTGGCAGCGGCGCATGGTACGGCTGCTTGGCCCAATTGCAGGGAGCGACACCGGGAAGGCCAGTCTCAAGTTCCTAATGGGATGGACTGGGTCCAAGCGGGCTGAAGATATGCGCAAGAATGCCCGCGCGGCCTACATCCGGCATTACAGAGACGTACGCGCTGCAGTTCCGCCTGCGCAACTGCTGAACTTCCAGTTCAGCGACGGATGGGAGCCACTCTGCAAGTTCTTGGGAAAAGACGTACCAGATGTGCCCTTTCCGCATGTGAATGACGCGGCGGCGTATGCCGAGTTTCTGCAGACAACAAAAATCGACTTCCTCAAACGACTGGTAGCGAATCTCAGCCCGCTTGTGCTGCTGCTGACGTTCCTGCGTTTCGTGTCGCAAGGAGCGGCCTGGGGCATCTCTAAGTGTATAGGGTACCTAGTACATCTCGTGGCTCCAGAGAGAAAACGATGACAATTTCCTACTTAGTGGAGGAAGGAGAGTGTTAGAACATAGCGATAGTCTCTTTGGAAGAGGGGCGGGTCAAGTCAGCACATGCAGAGCCTTGGAGCCATATCACATAACTGAGTTCCTCGAGTCATTGGGAGCATTCGCAACCGGTGCGCTGTAAATTATGGCTACTCCTGACCAGCAGTGAGGAGCGTCTCCATAGTCGCCTGCGGAGGAGCCAGAACGTACTCGCAATCCAGGTAAGGCGTGGTGTCGCCGTCTTCCTCAAACTCATATGCCGCGAATCCATTGCCCAGAAAGCCAAATCTGTTGATCGAATGGTATTCAATGTCAAAGTCCTCCAAGTTCGGCGTTTCAACAACCTGGAAGAACGCTAGACGAGATCCGGGCCACATGACAATGAGGCCGTCTGCTCGACCCTGCTTGAACCAACTCGTACAAGGGTCCGCCCAACATGTCCGAGCAAGGTATGCCCTACAGTGTTCCATAAACTGCTCCACTACCTTGTCTTTCGGAACAATACGGCGAATATGTTGAGTGTACATCTTGCGGATTACCTGGATGAAGTATTTGCTCATGTGTGTGTGAATCGGCAGGATTGACCCCTGTGCGACGGGTGTGAATGGCCCCGTGAACATGAAATAATTTGGCATCCTCGGCGCCGCAATTCCGATGTATGATTCAGGGACCTCCTGCCATCTGTCTGCAAGATTGGTTCCGTCAAGTCCGATAATTGGGAATTGTGGGCGAAAGGATGTGTCGAAACCGGTGGCACAGATAATCACGTCAACCTCATACTCGTTTCCCTGCTGGTCTTTGAAGCCTGCTGGTGTTATGGAGTGAATGGTTTCGGTGAAACAGGTCGTCTTATCTCCAATAAGAGATTCTAGATACCCGTTGCCCGGTGTCGGCCGTCGGCAACCCACATTGAAGTTCTTCGGGATGATCTTGTCTTCTAGTCGCTTGTCGCCGCCTAGCTTGCTGTGCATTTCTCGATAGGAAAACTACCGAATCAGCAGCCGGGCACTGTTGACATAGAACGGTAATCGATGAATGTACCATAGAAGGGGATAACTTACTTCATTTGCCTCCTGGGACTCCATGGTATTTCGTAAAGTCGATTTGTATCGCTGGTTGAGCTCTCCCTCTACTTGCTTTCGATACTTCAGATACATAGCTGGATTTTGACGCCACTCGGTCTTTCTGTCTTCGGAATCTATACATGTAGTCAGTCACGACGCCCCGATGGCTTGAGTTGATCCAGGCCTGGAGCCTCTCAACTTACATGCAAAATTCGCACCGTGTTTGCCGGCAAACTTCTGAGCGAATCCTGCCGTGATCCAGGTCGGGCTGCGAACCCAAGTGTATAGCTTCGATACATCTTCATACACTGATGCAACAGTCTGCACGCCAGAGCTTCCTGAACCGATCACGGCAACCCTTTTGCCCTTCAAGTCAAACCCTTCTTCGTACTGTGCTGTGTGAAAAAGACGACCCGAAAAGGAGTGGAGGCCGGGTATGTCCGGCCACTTCCAGGCGCTAAGGGAAGTCAGTGACTGCCTTAAGTAAAAGAAGGGAATCTTGACATAATTGTTTTGTCATGCTTGATCTTACGTACTTGAGAAAGCCACCACCATTGAGGAAGATATCGCATCGTTCTTCCCAGTGCCTTCTGCCATCAGTTGTCGCCAGTCCCACCACCCACCGAGAATCAGCATCATCCCATGTTGCCCTGACGACTTTGGTGTTGAGCTGAATGTACTTGTCAAGCCCTTCATCCACTACGATCCCTTTCATGTATCGCCAAATCTCCGGCGCTTCGCTGTAGAACTTCGTCCAGTCCGGGTTTGGGCACCAGGGAAACTGGTAGCTCGCGCTGGGCCCGTCGCAGGCACATCCGGGATACCGGTTTTCGTACCATGTTCCGCCAACATCAGAGTTCTTCTCAAAACATTTGATATCGATATGAAGTCCCTTGAGGGCCTTGGGGGCTTGATGTAAGAAGTCGATTCCCGCCGCACCTGCGCCCATGATGATGACTCTGAACGGATCTCCATCTCTACCAGCCCATCCGTCGCCGACCAAGGTTTGGCCACATTTATATCCCGTTGGTAAGTTCTCGTGCCATTCAGGCAGGTCGACTGGACTCTTCAGGGACGAAGGGTGGGGACCTGCGTGGTTGCTTCCAATTCCGACAGCGGTCAGTTTGCCGTTGCATCCTGAAAGGTCACCCATGCTGTGAGAATTGGGATAGTCGGGGACTTGAGGGAATAAGCCCAAAAAGCGCCAAATCTGGACTTAGTATGCGTGGATGGTCAACTTGCCGTCACAGGAAAGTGCAGCAAGGATAATGAAATATCAACGGGTGGCGGCTGGTCTGCGAATACGGCTAGGAGTGGGGAGTAAATGATATAAAATGTCTCCCAAACATGTAACCCAAGCTTCACGTCACAGCAATGTAACGATTGAAGGACACATGCACTGTGCTCGGTGAGCACTGACCATCGAACACAGAGCGGTGACGAATGAGTGCATTTCATGTCCGAAGCTTGCATCATTGGATCGGAGAGTGACTCTCCGGTTCCACAACTCCAAAGGCATGCATGAGACGCTGGTGGGCGTGGGTGGTTCCATGTCCGGTCGGTAAAAACGGCCAATCTTTAGCTCTCGGTGGCCATCCAGGGCAGACCGATTGATTTGTACCACCCGGGGATTTTTCACCCGTTGACATCCGGACAAGCTTCCCGTGCAGTGTACCTAGTACGAAGTATAACCGCGCCATTTCCACCATCCTCAGCGGAATTGCGTCGCACAAGCTACGGACAGCCTATGTGGGGTAGTCTTTAAGGTCACAGTCGCCACGCACCTCTGGATAACCTCGGCCTCTTCGATTCAACTAGGTTTTCCACTCAACTCGTGTCAATGGAACGGAAACCAGCTGCTTTTATCACCGGAGGCGCGAGTGGACTGGGGAGAGCTGTGGCAACTCATCTCTCTCGTGAGGGTGTTAATGTCTTTATAGCGGATCGCGATGGCATGGGTGCAGATACAACGGCAAGAGAGTGCGGCGGTATATATGCTGTCGTGGACGTCACTGTGTGGGAGTCACAAGTGGCCGCATTCCAGCGAGCAGTTGACCTATTCGGCCGCATCGACTACGTTTTCCCATTCGCAGGGATTGGAGAGAATGATTGGTCTCCTTCCAAAGACGACTCGGGCGAACCGCAGGATTTCAAGAAACCAAACCTTAGTGTTGTGGACATCAACCTCACCGGTGTCTTATATACCGTCTCGATCGCCGTGCAACATTTTCGCCGTCAGCAGCTAGACTGCAACGGATTTCGCGGCAAAGGTGAGCGTGTTCAACGAGATTCCTTGGCATAAGTCCGATACTGAACAAGAGGTTTTGCCTTTGCCCCGATAGTCATTATTGCTGGATCCTTTTGTGGCATTTACTGCTGTCCGAGCCTTCCCATTTACACCGCCTCCAAACACGCGATCACGGGTCTGGTCAGATCTTGGGGCAAACACTTAAGCAAGGAAGGTATCACGATTAACTCCGTCAACCCGAACGTGATAAGAACAAATTTTACTACCAGCCACTTCTACGACACCCTGAGTGAAGAAGATCTGTTGACTCCCATAGAAGGAGTAGTGGAGGCTTGTATTCGGCTACTTGGTAAAAATGGGGAGAGTGGGATTTGTTTCGAAATCGGCCCCAACTATCATAACGGCCAGGGGCTATATCAGCCTCAATTTCCACGTATTTTGGATGAGAAACAACAAAGGGTGTATGACAAGCTGGAGGCGCGCGGCACAGTGCGTTGACCGACGCAATGGCGCCTGAATGTCACTGAGGCTTGCTCAAGGGAGGAGAACTGAAAGAGCTGAAGCAAACACAATCAGTTATTTCCTTTAGAATATCACGCAAAATTTAAGAACTTTTGTCCGAAATGCTTTCTCGTCCTGTCTCTCTTTATGCAAGTTATGACCCAGACTCCACCACGGTCCTGCAGGCCCTGCAACATCTTCAGACACAAGCCGAAGTTAGTTGCACGCTCGTATGTATCGGCTTTCTTGATCGCGACAGATTAGCTATGCAGTCATATGTACTTGGCTCACTCAATAAATGCCCTGTCACGGTCACGCATGTCAAAACTTTGGCGTCCTGACTCCTGAGTGGGCATGCGCGGGAGGGCCGCCCCCACTGTCGTTGCGTGTTGAGTGGGGGCTGCGAACTGTCTGGGGGCACCGGGACGGACTTGACCCTCCCGAGTCCCGAACCTGGTAAGGACCCGCGGACTCGGAGGGTCATGGGCCGTGGTGCGGATCCGGGCAGCATGGCCCATGCCATGTTAACGCCGAATGCCCATCACTTAAAAAGAGGTGGACAGGTGTGCAACCATAATCTTTCGCTTGGCATAGGAAGATTGACCATCTAAATAACATCCCGTATTCTTCTACCTCTTTTGAGTTGACAGTCTTGTACATCTCGACATTACCCGACTCGACCGCATTCCAGAAAGCGAATCTGGCGACATACAATGACCACACAGCATCGCACCGCATGTGACCCCCTGCCTGCTGCATGCGATGTTCTAGTCGTTGGTAGTGGCAACGCTGGATTCGTCGCAGCAATATCGGCCGTCCAGTCAGGCGCGGAGCATGTGCTGCTCATCGACAAATGCCCCGACGAGTGGGTAGGGGGCAACACGTATTTTACTGCTGGTGCATACCGCACGACACACAGCGGATTGCCTGATCTTCTACCAATGGTGAACAACGTTGATCATGAGACAGCACAAAAAATTGAGCTCAGCCCTTACACTGAAGCAGACTTCCATGCCGACCTGGAAAAAGTTTGTGATGGCCGCTCAGATGCCGAGCTCGCCAGCATTTTGGTCTGGCAATCAAATGATACGATCAAGTGGCTGTCTCGCCAAGGCATCCGCTTTCAGCTCTCATTCAATCGTCAGGCTTATGAAGTTGAAGGCAAGATCAAATTCTGGGGCGGCCTATCCCTCATGACTGAAGACGGGGGGAAAGGCTTAGTCGCTGTAACGGTCTCAACTCAGTGTATTGACAACTAGCTGAGCGACTGCAACGAGTATCCTAAAGCTGAGGAGAAAAGAAAGGAAGAAGAAAAAGAAGAAAGTTCGAGAACAGAACACGAGCTTTTAAAGGGAGCTCCGGAGCCGATGTGGATCCCCGGTCGAGAGCGGAGCCGAGACCCACACG